CAAAAGACAATGAGGAAGAAGTATCGACTTCCTATTGTTAACGATGTTTTAATAGATCTCCCGAAAATACAACGTTTTGAATGAATGGAGCAATAAAGCATGGATTCATGCGGAAGCGTTGCCTAACACCTCTAATGATAATGTTAGCACAAGCAATTAGCATTACAATAATGTTAAATGATTTACAAACGAAACTGCTCTATTTAACTCAAACACGAGTTTTCTGAAATTTGGTGTCGCAAAAACTTTGTCCTTGGCTATTAACAATTGCTGAATTTGTGTTTTTTGTCAGGTCGTTCACCTTTGCATCACTATCGTTGAATTAGACGTAAACAAACACCGAATCTATTTTGGTGACTGGTTTTCAAACTTTTTGGTGAAATTGAATCAAACTGGTTTTGAGGAGTTGGGAACAAATGGCTAATAAAACGATTCGATCCATTCATCATCAAAGAATCGAATCTAGAGTCCCATGATGGTTATTCCAGTTCGACCATAGCATAGGTCAATACACTATCAGTATTAAACCGTCATAAAAGCATTGAAGAGTGATTTTTTTCTCTCGTTACTAATTACACGGTTTTATTTTGTGAGAGAGACCCTTGAGTTCGACAGGTGCGTGTAAGAAACGTCCGATTTGACGTAACACACCCTCGGAATGCATCCAAAGGCGTCTCTCTTTTCAACCAATGCACCGAAAAAAGAGACCGAGTCAGAGGGCCAACTACCAATCATGTAGATGAGCTCAAAATGGACCATTTGTTAGCCTGTTTTACCGTTAGGTCGTTTCAAGTTCTTCCGTGTTGGAAGGCACCCTATGTCTTGTTTTTTTTATACTTTACCGTTCATTTCCTAGAAATGAACGGACACAAGGGCGGGTGTTGAGAACATCCAAATTCGTCATTTTTATTGCTTCAACATCTGTCATCATTGCAAATGACGGAAATGATCGGTTTTTTTGTGTTTTTAACCCTTCCTCCCTTTTACTTTTTCCTCAGGTAGATCAATACGTGGGAAACAGAAAAAAATCCCGGTGTCAGTGAACTTTTTAATACTGCAGAACTGAATAGAGTCGAATTAATTGTTTCACTAATTCGAAAATCTCTCACTGACTGATTTTACGTCTTTGCATTTCTGCACGCGAACGCGAAATTATACCATCGATCAGAATCGATCATTTCAATCGTGTGGGATGGTAATTTTATTTATTGGAGCGCAAGATTTGACAGTGATTATGGTGGAACGCAAATAAGGGGTTTCACACAGCGAAATATAAATAAAAAAATCAAAGTGGGGCTTTTTTGCCGTTCTGCTACACTAATTAATAGGCATTCTCAAAGTTTTTTATTTATTTATAAATAGCTGGTTTTACCGGAAATGAGACTAATCTATGCAAATTTTTATTTTATTGCAGTTTAGTTAATTTGCCTTTCAACATAACAAGAATGCACAATTTTAACAATCAATTGTTTTTTGGTAGTTTTTCCGGAAAAACCACGTGGCAAACCTCCCATTCGCATCTAAAAATATCGCAAGGTTAACCTCGAAGCACTCGCAATTTTCCACGTTATTTACATCGATTTCAGAAAATTCCGGAGGAGAGATATTATAATAGGATAGGAAATGAATCATTTAATAAAGTTCAAGGCAATAATAAGATTACTTTATATACGTGACAACTATTGCAAATAATAGAAAAAATAAAGTATAAATCGATAAAAAGTAATGCAATCAATTCAAGGCCACACTTCTATTGCATTTCAACCGCAAGGATAGTACCGCATTGCTCCCCTGATTTAAATCGAAATCCTGTTCCAGCAATGCACTCGATTATTAATTGGTCAAGGATAACCGAACAACAACAATTATTTACGTCATTTAATTGAGGACATTCCACCAGTGGGCGTGCGTGAATTTCAGTTTTTGCATCACGTTACCTGGAAATAAGGGCACATTCCCGGAATTTGCATTTTATTCATTTCGGCGGTAAAGCACAAAGTCGTTTTATTGCGACTATCTTGACCTTATTCTCAGATATGCAAATCGTTGGGGGCACATGACAAAAAGGAGCGTTTTTGCACAGAGAAAAAAAAACTCTCGAGTTAAATAATTCTTAATTTTCGATATACGCAAGTAAATATATTCTCCAAAATAGAAAATTATTTGCTCAACCTGCATTTCTTGAGTAGAAACATAATTGGTTCAATATAAATACTTCTATTAAGTTTTAAATCAAGTAAATACAACATTAAGAGTAAATAACGTTTATTATTGAAGTGGAATCAACTAATTCTTGAAATAAAGAATAATAATTTCTTCTGAAATATGGAACTTTTGGAAGAAGAAATTGTTTTCTTGAAATAAAAAATTCAATCAATTCATGAAACTGGTTTATTTTATTTGAGCACATCCTTATTTGAAGTTAACAATTGTAACGTTTCATTCAAATAAATATTTTTTTCAATTTTCTTGGGTAAATTATACATACAATAATCTTATTTTATTACAAAGATAATTTTATTATAAAAATAATGAACATGGCATTCATACAACTGTTATATGTCAAACTATAACATTAAAAAAATCAAACATTCTACAAGTAATATTAATAGGAAATCAAAATATTTTGGAAAGCGAAACGTACAATTCACCTTTATAAGCTACCTAGTGTCAAAAAAATTGTTTTTAACTGCTCACAAACGAAAAATTCGTAAAATATGCGCATATATATGCACGTGTTTTCACAAAAATATGCACAAGATATTAAGAAATATGCTCCAATATATGCCAAATATGCATCACGCAAAACCAAAAAGAGAATAAATAAATTGGTTTTGGCACAGACAAGCCATTTTAATAACCTTGTAATTAAGCCTTTCTAAGAAATCTGTACTTTTCAGATCACATCGTTTATTTTTTAAATGGCAACCTACCAAATAAAACATTTTTCTCATGAAGGTCATGATCTACAGGATTACTATCTACTTTATATTAAATATTTTTTTTTAATATAAATTGCAATTTATTAATAAAAATCGAATAACTCAAAAACAAAGCAAAGTTTTGTTCTTAAAATAAGAATATTTTTTTCTATATTACTTTAATTAATATTAATTATTATTTTTTGGAAACAAATGATTTTTTGTTTTGATACCTTATAAAACAAATTTAAAACGAATAAAACCCAGCAGGATACTAATTTTTTTGAGTCTGGTTTACGAATTACCGGTTGTTTTATCTTTAAAATATTTTCTAATCGAATCATTTTTCTTAAACTATACAATTTTTAACTTGAACTGAAATTTTTAATAGGAAATTTGTGATTTGAAGAAAATATGCACAAATATATATTTCCCAAAATATGCACGAAGTTGCCAAAATATGCACAATAAGCATTTTTTATTTGGCTTATTTTAATAAAAAAACATTAGATATGCATAGAAAACGGTTTTCGAGCATAAGCGACAAAGTCAAGAAAACTAATTTGGTTCAAGAAAAATCATATTCAGTGCAAGATTAGGTACTAAATATTAGTTTAACTATGTGTGGTTTCAATTGATTCAGATATTTTTTCAAAAGAATAATTCTTTATCATGACTGAAGTAAATCTGTTTAACCAAATATTTTTAAAGTAAGATAACTTTCTTTCTCCGCGTGAACTGCCAAACTTTTATTAAATAGAATCTAAAAATATTTCAAACAAGAAAATTCAAACAATTCAGTAAACTTATTTGTTGCTTAAGACAAGAAATAGTTTTATTTTAATACAAATAAAAATAATTGTGGTGAAATAATATAGTCTCAAGTTCTGTGCGTAATGGTTGAATTGAGTTTTTAACATTTTCGCAATTATTTAACCCGGATTTTGATATTTTTTCAGTTAGTTACTGTCGTTGCCACTGTTGAAGTCTCTAAGTGTAATGATGTTTTTCAGTATATTTTCAGAATTTTGCCCGACCTCGAGGATGCTTTACGCATTAGATTTCGCAAGTCAAGTGCGTGATGCATTCAGAAATGAAAGTGCGGACATGCACTGCAATGTCATTACTTTCCTAGAACTAGTATACCGACTGCATATAAACACAATTCGAACTATGGCAGTAATTCAGTAATGCTAAAACACTCTCTAAGAGGATGCACGTATGGCGTTATTTTTAGAAGCACAATTTGCGTTCATTTCCTTGTGATGTTGCCAATTAGACCAGTATCACGCTCACGCATATATTACGCACCTAGTGCACGTAGAAATTCACCCAGAGAGGGACTCTGCGAGTGCATTTGGGCCTGGAAAACGTCGCGATTTACATTGTGTGCCGAGCCGGGCCTGTATTTATGCACGGCACGGATTTAACCTGGCCATTGTGGCCAGACAATGCCGCGAATTATCCTCTCGGCATATAAAATGCCTGGAAATTTATTCCTCTAACCTACATCGTGTCAATGTTCTATTAACATACACTGCCCCCTTCGAGGAGAAAGTCAATGTGAAAGTACCGTTTTTTTCGCGAAAAAAGCGTGATTTATGAGAGGTTTTTGCAAGATTTATGACGCCCTTTAAGTAGTTTAGGACCAATCACACACAAAAAAATCTTCCAAGAAGTTGTTTGCGAATCTCACGCTGCAAAAATATTCAAATCGGGATGAAAAGGTCGTAAAAAATATTTCAGAGAATCGTAAAAACTAGACAGTACCTGAAATGAGGGTGGTACCGACAAAGGACTTGCGTAATTTGTTTTATAATGTTGTAAAAATTGGTTCGATCGAGGATGCAAACGTATTACCATAAATGTTTGACCATTTTTTGTCTGGTGCAGCCATAAAAACGGAATTTTGATTTTTAAAATGGCCAAAAAAACGTGAGCTTTTCTTAAAAAAGCTCCTCTTTGTGTTTTTGTTGCATTTTTTGTGGAAAAAATTGACAAAAACACTCTGGCGCCTGATTGACACGATAGCTGTTCTAATTGCAATAATTAAGGTCAAACATAGTACAAAAACAAAAACAAAGAAAAAAATCGTTTAATATTAATTAAAATAGTTGGACTTAAAAATAGCTCAAGACCACCACACCCAAAAGTCAGACAAGAAATCAAAATTTGGGCTTTATTAACCAACAAACGAAATAAGTACAAATTAATCCAGTAAAAATGCCTTTGCTAGGGCCAAAACCGGGGCTCCTGTGGCCGGTTTGGGGAATTCTCCTGCCGAAGCGGCGATATCAAGATGGCTGTATTTCAGCGGCTTCCCACTTCCCGATCCGTGTTCCTGCAATCCTGCAGCGAGGATCAGGAATGCGGCAGGTCCTGTAAATTTTTTGTGTTTCAGATCAATAACATTGAACCGTTTTTTTGCACACCTCTTTCTAATTTATTCAATGCACTGCGAGAATTATGCAATAATATGTAACAGGTACAAGAATGATATAAGAATTACGCCTACCTTGATGTCCTCTCGGTGTCCTCGACGACGGTTGATTGTTGGCTTGTTTGACATCGTCGCCGAAAGCTTCGCCGCGATGCTGAGCGAAATCCTCGGATCGGATCCGGGAGATTTCGAAAATGTCGCCGATCAAGTCGCCGGCGGTCTGCAACCGGATCGAATTTCCGGATTTTAAAGCCGGACCGTTGTCCATCACTGGTGACATCAGGATGATAAATATAGAAAACGATTATTACACACTAAACTGTTAGGTGTTTACGATGTACTTGCATGCAAGTTGACCTTTCGCGAAGAATGAATCGAATGAAAAGTCAAGGTTGCAATGGGTTAGGAAATGAAATAACACTTTTTGGAAACGTGTCCACGAAATAATTGAGATTTCAACTTAAACTAAGTGTTTAGGAGAGCTTTTTTGCGGTTACTGTCTTGCTCGAGTGTTGAAGTCTCCGAATGCAATTATGATTTAAACGTAGATAACACGATCCAAACCATGTAAATTATTATTATTTTATGTGTTTTAGTTGATTTTCGTAAAAATTGTGAGTTTTTGTCGAAATTTCCGATAAATGTCGTGCAATTTTTTGCCGATTTCCAAATATGGGAGCAGGATTTGTCATGAAATCTTCGACCCGGATCACCTTTGTTTCCCTCCAGAATCCGGTTACGTATCATTCTGGAATTCGCTTCCCTAACAGTAAACCATGGTTCGTCTTAACGGAACATTGGTAAATTTCGTGCACGATTTTTATTGTATCGTTCTCATTATGCCAAATGCGGCCTCCTCGCTAACTGTAAAAAAACGCACACACATCTGACCTGTGCAATCGAATAAATTATCCGCTATGCGTCCTCATTTCGCGTTTAAATTACCGCTATGGTCGCTGAAAAAAAAAAAAACAATTACCGATCGAATATCCCTCGCCGACTGTCAGAAACGCGTGTCCTGTGAGCGTCGCGACGGTGAAAAGATGCGGATTGACGGCATCCACGGCCAACTCCTTCATCTGAAACAGGACGTCCAATTAAAGCTCGAAATGGAGAGACCGAAATCGTGAGGTCATCCACGTTCTTCTCCTCTGTGTAAATTTACTTTAAATCTCGATAAATTATCTGGATTTTTCAATTAGCGATCGGTATAAATTAATTTTCAATTAAGATGGAGATTTATCAACGGAAATTTCGGTTTTATTCCATTTTTATAAGCTTAAGAATCGGAAATCGATTCAAATGTTTAAGGCGTGGTTGAAATATTACGAAGGTTGGTCGTGGGGTATGTGGATGTATTGAACATTAATTATGCCCCGGAGAAACTATTGCACTTTTGAATTTGTTACATTACTTGCTGCTTCATGTCTTCCTGTTCTTCAAATGTGGATTAAACGTTGCAAATTCAACTTGTTTGCTTCAAACTGTCTACATGCAGCGTTCAAATCTCCAAGAAAATAATATTTGTGTCTTAATCTCGCATTGAAATCTCCCGGAAATTATTGATTTGATGAAATCCCTCGTCATTGAAATGGGTGTTGAGGCATTTTTTATACTTGTTTCGTATAATGGATACTAATTAATAACAAATATGACATAATTAACACTATTAGTAAAAAAAAGTTTACTTCGTTATCCTTACTGTAAATAGTGGTTAATGACACTGAATTTTTGTCCAATTACTTTAATTGAAATTAGCAAATGTTTTCTTTTAATTTTGTGTTAAATAGAATTGCAGACTATTTATTTAAGTCGGCGCCAGTGATTTTTTTGCTGTCTTGATCCCTAATTGAGAGAAAAATAGCAGTTAGAGGTGAGCATCATGAATGACTAAAGGCGACATCATCACCGTTCGATTCAACTGTATTTTTTAACTGTTATTACTGTAATCACAATATTTCCTTCTCCGCGACATAAAAATGTGAATAAACAATCGAGCAATGATCACTTTTTTTCCATCGATAATTCTTATTATTTATTATTGTTAACTATATTCAAACTGTTTGATTTAATTAGACAAATGGAAAAAAAATCATAATCACCGATACAAAAACTGCATAACTTCTCATTTTAATACTCCTCATTATGCATTTATTTGTATTTTTACCGATTAAATGTCACACGTGTTTGTTAAAATCATCGATACGATATCATTACGTAACGAAAAACGTGAGCTGCACTTGCAGCTTAATGCACCAGCACGTGCTTCAGATAATGCACATTTTTCAGGCGTTTTCAGCCCCGGGGCTAAACGATTAGTTGTCAAGGCGCCGATATAAATAGATTTTCACTCAGATATGATGAAATCCAAGAAATTAAACAAGAAAATTTTTTTTTTTTCAAACAATGATGCAATAAATGTGACTCTTTCAGCCCAATTATTTCAGGCACTATTGAATTATAGGCAACCAAATATGCACAAGTAGGCAACCAACCTTGCACAAAACATCAGCCATGACCATTCTTCCTTCCGCGTCGGTATTTCCCACCCGGATTCTAGCTCCGGATCTTGCCGTTATGACCTCATCGGCGACGTAACCATTCGACCCTATACTATTCCGTACCAAACTGACCGCTGCCACAACTTTGATATTCTTCGGTTGTAACAATCTGACCACCTGGAGGAACCCCACAACAGCAGCAGCCCCACATTTATCCCGTGACATCCCCACCATAGCTCCATTAATTTTAACATCAATGCCTCCGGTATCATAAGTGACGCCTTTTCCGACCAAATAGACAGTTTCCTGGATTTGGCCCGGATCTGTAGGAGAGTACTCCATGAAAACGATGCGACCTTGATGACGTTTAACACCAGAAGCGGCCCGATTGACCGCTTCAAAAAGCGGAAACTCTTGACTGAATTGCTCCGGGTCTTTGATCACCTGGAGTTTGATGTTGCTTCCGGAGAAGACGTCCAAAATGTAGTTTTCGACGTTAGGGGGTGACATACGTTCCGGGTCACCATCCCCGATGTCGCACGCTACTCGACGACCACTCTCGAGGATGGTGGCCAAGTCGACCAGAGTTTTGGTCTTGTTGGGGTCCGAGGAGAAGACCCCCAGGTGGTTTATTGGAGATTGTTTCGTCGGGTCGTGTTCACGGACTTGAATCGGCTAAAAGAAAACTCCGGTGTTTTGGTGGCAACATAAGCATCAAAAGTCACGTTTTTGTGATAAACTGATAAGATATTTTTTACTTACCACGTATACCGCTTCCAATGCCCCTAATAAAGTCACCAATTCTCCATTCTCGAATCTAGTTTCCTCCACGACGAGCAACGGTTTTGAAATTCCCGCTTTCAGCGCCCGTTTCATGCCTTTCAGTGCTGCATTTTTCAACACTCTGACGTCATCGTAATCCGGATCGATTTTTCCGGTGGGTGAATGCACCAAACGCTTCGCCGGTAAGCCCGGAACTGGCAAAATCGCAATTTCCGATTCCAGAGTCGGATCTAAGAGGAGGGCATCTCGGAGGGCATCTCCAAGTTTTGTCGATTTTAACTGCTGACCAGGCGAAGAAATCAAAAGGATTCCATCGTAATTCGACGATTCGAGCGAATTTTCCACGATGAGTTTTGTGATTGGAGGTCTAAAAAAAGAACTGTGGATGCGTTTTAAGTTATTTTTCGCCGATTTACCCTTTGGAGGACATGATGGCGGTCGGTTGATGAGTGATGAGTGTTTTTATTAAGTGTTTTTTTGAGAAATTGAGAGTGGGAGGAAAGGTTTTTATCGTGATAAGGCTGTTACTCAAGGATGGGTGATATACCGGAACAAAATTTAAAGGTTTCTGAACGGAAAAGTGCGAAATTTGCACATTAGTCGCCAGGGGGCGCCACATATCACATTCGTCGATTGTTTCAAATCATTCAAAATTTTTTGTGGTAGCTTACCTTTCTTTGCATAGAGATGAACGTCGTTTTCTTTTGGGCATTTTTGACAATGCTTTTTGACAATTTAAATGAATGAAATAAAGGGTCACTATTTGACAGTATTGACTGTAATTCTAATTAATTAAAATTCCTTCTAGGTTTCTCTCCAAACAGAAATAAAAATAGCAGCGTAAAAGAAGAGAAAGGAACGAATTACAGCAGGATCAATTTATTGTCTTTTAATAAATGCTTTTTAAAAAATAACAGTTATTTTACACTAAATGACTAACCAAATATTGAGTTTAAAGAAAAATTACCTAGGAAAAATTTAAATAAAACAATCTCATTTAAATTTTAATATTAAAAAAAGGATTTAGAGTTAATATTTTTATACTCTATGCCCAAATTAGGGTTTCAATCCACGTGATACAACAACAAAAAAATTCTTGGTAAAATTATGAATATTTTTTATTACTTTTGAAATTCATTAAATTTTTATTCATTATAAATATGAGTTTTATAATTATTAATAAATATTAATTTTTAACCCACACAATATTTCCTCATAAAAAAAATCTTTTACTTTAAAGCCATTTTTAATATCTGTTAAGTATTATTCATTAATTTTTTTGGTTATTCTATCTTTTTTATCCCATTTATTTTATATTTACCATAATTTTTCATCGGGCCATGATAATAAACCAAGTCTCTTAATTTAAACTAGTTTCTTTGATTCTTCTACTCTTCCATATTACATTTTCTATTTATAAATATATTCTTTCATTTGGTCTATAACCCCTTCTTTCAAGCTTAAATTCTCACTTTAAATACCTAATGACAAATTAAATAAATATCTGGTGACTTCTTGTCTTGAAGTTCAAATGAAGATGTTTTAAAAGCTCTTTGATATGAATAATTACATTCTCTCTCAATTTTTCTTCCAACCCATAGTTCTAAGATATTAAGAGAATCCATGTTTTAATTTACCCTTAATTTTTTTTTAGAACTTTGTTCAATTTTTCGTTACAAAATTCTAAACCTTTTTTCATGACTAGAGATGTGAAATCGGTACAAAAACTTTAATTGTCTAAAATATTAAAGGCTTTCACCCACTTAAAAACACAATAAGTCACCTAAGACTACCTTATCCTTCAAACTTGGTTACAATAATTCCTAACCATTAACTTCTTGAAAAAAATTTCTTCTTTCAGATTTTTTTCAAACAAATTTCTACACCAATACAATTTTTTTATTCAATGAATCTGTAATTGACTGTCAATCAACGCAGACGACGCTATGTACAAAAAACATTTTTGACAATGCCTTTTGACAATTTCAATGAATGAAATAAAGGGTCACTATGTACAAAATAATTTATTTCCAACAGTGCAACAATAAATAACTTTAAGGCTCTCGCAGGATCAAATCAAGGACGTGAGGTGGTGGTACTCGATGGGCCGGGGTAATAAGCCGAGTAGGCTATGTTTTGTGCTGAATTGTCATTGGTCCAGACTCTGGAATATGGACCACCTTGATTGGGTTCCCATCCTGGTTCGTACGAACTTGGTGGAGCCGTGGACGGAGGTCCGTACATGGATGCTGGTGGTTCAGCCGGTGCCATGGACATGGACATGGGCATTGGCATACCATTTTTACCAACAAATTGGTAAATTATGAAACCGAGGACGATCAAAATGGCCAATTTGCTGAGAATGAGAGCTTTGAGTGATTTCAGACCGATCAGAGCGACGAAAATTGGCATGAGAGCTTTCATTTTCAGTTTCAGGAGGAGGAGGAAGGGGAGGAGAATCTTCTTTTTGAGGAACAAGCCACGAGCTGAAAATTATCCTTTTCATGATTATCCCTTTTTGTAACAAATGACTTACATTCAATATCGGTAGTGGCGACATCGAGACCAGTCCTGGGATTGTAAACAATTTCAGTCTTGTCGAAGATCATTTCAGGCAATTTCAGCCTGAATTCGTGCGTTTTCAGAACTTTCGCCGCTCGTTTGAAGATCGCAGCGTCGATATTCTGCAACAATTGATTAAAAATCAACTTTTTCGTAGTCTTTTCACCACCTTTGCATTTCTTGCATCACTATCGATTTTCAGAATGTTGTCCAAATAGCCCAAAACGTTGCTTTTGACACAGTCCATATTTGCACAATTTTTCAGGACAGATGAGACGAGTTCATCTCCCGTTTTGGGTGAAACATTTTGTGCTGCAGTTGCACCAAGGGCTAAAACAACAACTGTCAAACGCCACATGATCGGTAATGAATGTTGATGATGAGTGTGGGCGCGGTTATATAGTGGACTATAGCGGTCAGGGGATCGCAAGTGTTTTGATTGTTAATTGATACCTAAATAGTACAACTTTTATGGAGCGGTTCCGCTAAAAAATCCGTGTCTGGGCTGGAAGTGGATAAGGAAGTGAATTTTTTACGGATGTGGAACGTTTGGTTTCACTGACATTGTTTCAGGATGAGAATAATTCTTATCTAAAGGGATTATCGCGATTTTGCGTATGCAAGAAAGGAGACTCTTTAGGGAAATTAAAGACATGAACTGACCACAAACTGCAATTTTATTCAAATTTTGGTGTTTCCACCAAAAACATTTATTTCTGAATTTCCAAAATAATTTTTTTGTGCTATGTGTACAAAAATGAAATAAAGATTAAAACACTGATTGAAGACTTTTATTGTCCTGAAAATCTTCAAGAAAAAATTACTTCTCCCTTGTTAAAATCTTTCTCATTGATTTTTGCTAAGACTGTGGTATTTTTTTATCCAATAATTTTTTACAAGTATGTTAAATATGTAATACCGATACTGGATGTTCTTAATGTTACAAAAAATTGCAACATATAACACTATTTTATATGCACTACTCCAAAAAATTAAAGGTACAAAAAATTTTACTTGATTTTTGAAACGCTGTAACTCATCGAAAAATGGTCGTATCTAGATTAAAGAAAAACTATTTTAAAGCTTTAAGTTTCTAGTTTTGAGATCTTTTGGCAATTTTTTTTTATGTGTTACGGTTATCACGTAATCCTAAGTAATAGCGCTAGAAAAAAAATTCTAATTTTTTTTGTTTTCGCATTTGATCCACGCACGTGGGGATTTAAAAAAAAATTAAGTCAATACATAGGCAGGATGTTCATACATCTTTAATATGCTTTTTTTATATTCTCTTTACGTCAATTTGTCGCTGAGATATCTGAATTTAAACGAAAAAAGATCATTTTGTCTTTGATTATCGATATCACAGAGAACATAAGGGTAGTGTCTAAAACTAAATTAAATCTCAAAACTAGAAACTTAAAGCTTCAAAATAGTTTTTTTTTATCCAGATACGACTATTTTTCGATGAGTTACAGCCTTTCAAAAATCACCAAAAAATTTAGGAAAACTTTTTGTTCCTTTAATTTTTTGGAGTAGTATAGGAAAAAATAATAAATATAAAAGTAATTGCTTGAAAATAAATGCTTTCAATGGCTCACACAGCCAGTAAAATTTTATGAAATTAATTTCTGATGGATTTTAATTTTTATTATAAAATTTTATCAATCTGTATATCCATAACGACTATCATTTAATTAACGTTATTTTTTGAAATAGAAAATGTAGATGCAAATTATATTTTTTTTTATTGTAAAAGATTTTTTAAAGATCCAGACAAATACGAATAAAATTCTCACATCTTTATAATTTAAAAAAAAATCTACATAGGAATCAGATTTTTCTTTACTTTTTAAATTGCAAATTCACTTTGTTAACTTTTCTGTCTTTAGATATTTGGTCAAAGATAAATAAAGAAAAGGATCTAATAATAATTAATACGCCAATTAAAAACATTTTACTTTATTTCTTGCAGTACATTTAATTTCATTTTTCATATTTTTTTTTCTTAATGGTTTTAAAATTAATTACTTTCATGTTTTATCGTGTTTGTTAACATAGGTATTACCTATATAACATGCGCAAAATCTGTTGTTTTTTGCAAAATTTGGTTGTAAAAACCTTCAATATTCTAATTTTTTAAATTATTCAAATAAAAAACTTATTATTAGGCGGTTAAAATGCTAGATTTTAATCGTTTTGTTTACTATTAAGATTACAATAGTAATGTTTTGTAATCTCTTTTAAAAGTCTAAACACAATGTATGTTCTATTGAGGACAACTCTACAAAAGTCAGTGTTTTTTAATAATATTTTTATTAAATAATATCCACAAACACTCAATAAATAGCAACAATATCACACACTTTACAAAGGAGCGTAAGCCGAATAAGCCATTTTCTGGGCTTCCTCTCCGAAAGCTCTAGCAGCTGGGGCTTCCCAAGGACTATGAGCGGCAACAATCTGCGGATGTGCATTATCTCCCGATATTTTCTTGCACAACTGCCAAACACCCAAAGCCAAAGCCACAACAAACGAAACGAAAGACAATTGCAAAGCATTCCACGTCTTGATCGCAAGAATACCGAGAGCTAACGGTATCATAACCATGGCTTTAATCAGAATGAAGATGAAGATGGGGACGAAGATTTTCTTCAATTTGGACTTCTTGCGAGCTGTGAAGAACGAATTAGTCAAAAAATTGGAGGAGGAATCAATTTTAAATACCTTCAACTTGACTTCCGGTGTTGAATCTGAATTTAACATCGACTTCATCCTGGTCCAAGTTTCTTCCCGTGAAGCTCAAAGTCGAGCCAATCACCGGGAGATTCAAAGTGACATCGTGACTCTTCAGGTACTCTTCAACGGTGGTCTCGAACGAATCATCACTTCTGCCGGTGATTTCATTGCCGTTCTTGCTGATTTGGATGTAATCTGAGACACTAAAATCTTCTGGTGCTTTTTCTTCAGCACTAACACAGGCTGCAATAGCAAAAACACAAACTACAAGCAGCCTCATTGTGATTTATCGCACCAGAAGTCAGTGTTGAATGATAAATGAGTGATACACCCTAAGTATTTATACTATTGTTCACGGTAGCGGTACTGATGGAAAGTAAGTGTGCTGGTTTTAACAAACCAAAAGTGGAAAAGGCGACGAATCCTTGTTTGTGGGACGCTATTAGGGTCGAAGGAAGTTCGATTGGACGCAAATCGGGAACGGTTGAGAGAAACTACACCTTTTTCAAGTGTAATTCAGAAAGTATAAGATATATTTCAGAAAACGTTAATTGTAATTTAGATTAGTCAATTGTATTTCAGAAAGTATTAAGTGTAATTCAGAACCGTAAACTGAATTTCAGAAACCATCAGATCTAATTCAGATTAATTAATTTAACTTCAGAAAGCGTAAATTCAGATGAAATTCAGATTACACCTTTTTCAAGTGTAATTCAGAAAGCATCACATGTAATTCAGATTAGTCAATTGTCTTTCAGAAAGTGTTAATTGTAATTCAGAAGAGTAAAATGAGTTTCAGAAACCATGAGATGTAGTTCAGATTAGTTAATTTAATTTTAGAAAGCATAAATTGGAATTCAGATTAGTCAATTGTATTTCATAAAGTAACAATTGTAATTCTGAAACCATTACATGTAATTCAGAACTGTAAATAAATTCAATTTCATGTTACATGTAATCCAGAAAACATCAATTGTAATTCAAATGAGTAACTTACTGTTATCTCAAAATGAAGTTTACACATAAACACGAATTATTTTATTTTCAGAATTAAAGAATTACATAAATTTGCCATTTTACAGAATATATAAGATATTTTATTTTCAGAAGAATTTTAGTAATGTAATTATTTTTGAGACACGCTTAATTAATTTTAGGCGATGTATCTATCAATTTGCTTGCTTTAAGAGTTTTTGGATTATTTTGAATCAGAAAATTGTTCATTACGGCCCTGGTGTGGTTCAAATTGTTCTAAATTTTGCACTGATTATACATAAAGAGCCAATCTGTCGAATTATGCGCACTTTAAACATTTGAAATTTTTTTTGAAGATTTATGACAAAGATGGTTAAATTAACGTTTTACACGGGTGTGAGAGCGTTCAAGCTATCACGTTTTAGTAAGGTATAATTTTTAAATAAAAATAACAAATTCTGAATTACAATTGACGAATTCTCAATTACAAATTACAAACTCTGAATTATAACTAGCACTTTCTGAAACAATTAACGTTTTCTGAAATATATCTTACGCTTTCTGAATTACACTTGAAAAAGGTGTAGTCAATCGTATTTCAAAAAGTCTTAGTTATAATTCAGAATTCGTCAATTGTAATTCAGAATTCGTTATTTTCATTTAAAAATTACATTACCAAAATTCCTTTGATAAAATATCTTATTTATTTTGCAAAATGGCAAGTTTATGTAATTCTTTAATTCTGAAAATAAAATAACTCGTGTTTATGTAAACTTCATTTTGAGATAACAGTAAGTAATCTGAATGACAATTGAAATTTTCTGGATTACAGGTAACATGAAATTGAATTTATTTACTGCTCTGAATTACATGTAATGTAATTAATTAATACTTTATGAAATACAAATGACTAATCGGAATTTTAATTTATGCTTTCTGAAACTAAATTGACTAATCTGAATTACATGTGGTGGTTTCTGAATTACACTTGAAAAAGAGGTAGAGCTTTTATCGGTGCTAAACCTGAAAAATTTAAATCAAATTTCATTCTGTGTTTTTGTTACTAGAGCAACCATATTTTTTCCATAGTTACGTTTTTGCTGCTATGACAACTGACTTATTAACAATAATTTTTCCATGGTTACATGGAAATTATTACTTTTTTATTTCATTATTTTTATTTATGCAAAGTAAGGATAAATAATCTGAATGACTTTGACATTTATCTAAATAATTTTTACTGTTTTACTCAGAATATCATTCTTCATCAATTTTTGATGAAATCTATTTCTGCAAATAAACTTCCGTCATCTTGTTCGCTCAAAATTAAATACGTCACGTGATGAATCGATACACTTTGTACTTGTTTCCCTACTAATTGACCACTTTTAAAATTAATTCACTTCTCTTTTGCAAATTGGCCATCGAATTGATTTTTGGGTGAATTAATGAGAATTCACTGAAAATTTCTGTCTATTTTTAATAGTCCTCCTACATATTCATTCATTAAATATTGAAACGTATTGACGATCAATCTATTATTGTCACTCGCGACTTCCTCAAACTTTTCAGTGATGACAAATGCAACCGATAAAATGGTTGTAGAGGAGATTCTCTCCCTGAAAAACCCAGTTTTTTGCTCCTATTTGATCAGTTCCTGTTTCCTTGTTGTTAAAATGATTTTGTTGGCTTTTTTCACCGGATATAAACGAGCTGTGCATAAAGTAAGTCTTGATTATAAAAATTTCAAGTTTTTGTAAGTTTTCTTAGGCGTATTTATCGCCCGAAGATGCGGATTTTAACAAGGGTCAAGTGAAAACACACGATGAAGTTGAACGGATTCGAAGGTTGGTATTTCCTGAAAGTTTTTTTGAAAATTGTGAGTTTTCAGGGCGCACTTAAACGATTTGGAAAACATTCCGATTTTTTGGACCAGCGCTTTTGCTTATCTCTGGACTAAACCTTCGATTACCGTTGCTTGTTTTCTTTATTTTGGTTTCGTGGTAATTCGGACTTTTCACACAATAGTTTATGCATTTTTAGCCGCTCCTCAACCGACTCGTGCTATTTTATTCACTGCCGGTGTTGCAATTGTAATTTACATGTCGATACATTCGATAGTTGTAGGGTTTCAGAATTTAGCTTAATAAATTTGAATCAACAAAACAATTTTTTATTTCGTTATAAATACAATAATTTAAGGTTTGTGTGCGGAATAGGCCAGATTTTGGGCTTCTTGTGAGTCTGAAAGAGCTCTGGCGGCGTAATGTGCCGCTTCCCATGGTGGGTGTGCCGAGATTTGAGGTGGGGCGTGTTCGGAGGCGATTTTCTTGCAAAGTTGGAAAACGGCTAAACCTACAGCGACGATGAAGGAGAAGAAGGATAATTGAAGGGCATTCCAGGCTTTCAAGCCTAAAATTCCGAGCGCAAGAGGGACCAAAGTCATGGCTTTCAGTAGAACAAACACCAGAATTGGGATCACAATCTTCTTCAGTTTAGATTTTCGTGCTGAAATTTTTTATTAGATTTGATTAAAATCTTTTGACATTACCTTCAACTGGACTTCCGAAATTCAATTTAAGATCAATTTCATCACTATCCAAGTTTCTGGCACCAAGAGTGACCTTGGTTCCGAACAATGGAGCATCAATTTTGACATCATGAGTTTTGATGAAACCTTCAATGTTGTCTTCGATTGAGTTTTCGCTCCGGCTTGTAACAACTTCGTTATTATTTCTAGTCACTTCAACTCCTTCACTAATCTAAAAAAAAACGCATTTTTGTCTTGATTTTCCAATTGTTTTTGTTTTTACTTGGAAGTTATCCTTTTGTAAAATTGAGTCTAGGAAAGAAATCGCTTTGTATTTAAGACAAGCAATTGGATCGTCCTCCGTACACAAAGATCTCATCTCTTCCACACTCGAATCGAAAGAAGTGCCTTTCCAGAAGGCAGGTTTTGTCGGGGAAGCACTCGAAAGTGTCACTAAAGTTACAAACACGCACACTTTGAAGGCCGTCATGGTCGAAGACTATGTGATGATTGAATTGAACACACCCTAGCTATTTATAAGTGTGGAAGTGTTAAAAAGTGGTCAATCGGAATTGAACCGGACGCTTTGTTCTTCAGGAACACCGTGATGAATAATAATTGTGTTTATGTACGGATTCTTCACGTATTTTGGTTCAGGAGGAAACAAGGACGAAATTCATATTCAGGACGGAGCTTTGCAGGAATTTAGAACGATGTTGCTTTCGTTGCGACGGCTCAAAAACGATTTTTGACGAAATTTGAATTTGAAAATCAAGGTGTAAAAAATAATTAAAATAATTGTTTGTGTAAAAAAATCACATAGAAAGAGGAAAAACAAACACTTGTGGGACAAATAAATAGTTTTTATTAATGAATTTTTGTAACCATGACAATTAACTAATTAAAATTATTCTTGTATACAAAACTCTATGACTATGACAACAATCCTATTAAAATATTCTTTCAATGGATACATTTTTGTTACCATGGCAATTATTTAAATAAAAATATTTTGTCAAATGGTCATTTACTATGGCAACGATCTTATTCTTTTTAGATTTTTATAGTAGTCGTCAGGTGTCAAATATATTATGACGTTTTGACCATTTTTCATGTTTTTGGAAGAACTTAATAAATAATTTTTATTTCTTTTATCTAATCAGATAAAGTTTTTGTGAAAAGATAAAGATAATATTATATCAAGAGATGAAGATAATTTGTAATCGAGTCATCTTTGGATCTAAAAACGTATGTCTGTGAAACGTCAAATAAAATGTCAAGCTGAAAGGTAAAATGACATTATCAAAAAGATGATAAATTTAATTACTAAATTTATGATTTATCTTCAAGAAAAAACGCTCCTATTTCCTATTATTATACGTCGGCGACTAATTTCAGTGCATTTTGCCGTTTCACCTTTAGACTTGTCAATGTATTTGACAGTTAGTTCAAAAAAAGACATACGTTTTCGGATATAAAGATGACTCGATTACAAATTATCTAAAAAATTTAAAAAACATCTGTGTGTTCTGTTGCTTCAAAATCACGTAAATTATATTCCTATATCATTCATCAGAAAATTTGTTCCCAATAATGTTAAGGCAAATTTATTAATTATGAAGGTGAGATTTTTATAATAAAACTAAGATGAATTCAAATAATTTAATCTTGGAGGACCTTAATAATAAAATTAGTGTGCGTTTAATAATAAATTTTATCGTCGAGGAAAAAGTTTAAGGGTTTTTCATTTAATTTTTTTTATTAAAAGTTTTCTTAATATTTTTTTTTTGTATTATTATTTGTGTTTGTTACTTAACACTTGTTATTGAAATAAATTAAGCCAAAGGATTTGTTTACTTGTTTTTTGTTTGTTTTGCTATTAAAAACCCAAATTGTACAACAAAAATAATTTATTAAATAATCAATAAATAACAAATCGGTGGTTTTCTTTTTACAAGTAGGCATTGTAGGCCATTTCTTGAGCACTCAACTCCCTTCCGTATCCTGGATGGTCCCATCCTGCCGCAGGTGGGTGATCAAGGTGATGTTCATGGTGATCAACAATATGATCAACATGATGATCATGATGATGCGGGAAATGTACAACTTCGTAATTTATCTAAAATAAACAAAATAATTATTTTGTAATTGTCTAAAACATCCCAAACTTACCTTAGGTTTTGAGAGTTTGAAAATGAGCAAAGCTCCGGTCAAAACCAGTGACAAAAGCCCCAAAGTGAGTGCTTTCCATGTTTTCAAAGCGATCAAAGCTAAAGCCAGAGGGACAAGAACTGCAGTCTTGAATTTGAGTCCCAAAAGGAATGGGACAATGACTTTTTTGACGATTTTTGAACGTCCTGAAATTATTTCCAAAAAAAAGTTATGATTTTTGTTTGGAGTGAGAATTACCGGTGACTGCGAGCGGTACTTTGACTTCTTCCGGTTGCAAACTCCTCGGTACCAACCCTCCTAGGAACCCTCCCGGTTGCAACACTTGTGGTACCTTCGCGACCACATCATGACTCTGCAAGAAATCTTCAAACTTGTCGAAAATATCCTCAGGAGCTCCTCTTTCTTCCTCCAAACTTTTCTTCTTCACAATCACCAAATCTTCAGTTACTTTGATCTCGGGCTTATCCGCGACGTAACTCATCCACGCTAGAGCTTTGGGTTTGGCACAGGAAACGGAAAAGTCTTTGAGACACGTGTTGTAGATGTCGTGGAGGACATCGACGGCCGAGGGATCGGCATGGGTCAAAGCCACGACTGCCAACACCAACACCAACTTCGAACTCATGGTGGAATTTGATGGGAAGTTGAGTTGGGGAAACGTTTTATACATTGACGAACGGAAACAGAAACCAAATGCGTTTCAATCGGGTTGGACGTGATTTGAATGGCCCGGATTCCGCGATGGCATAGCTTTTCGGCGGAAAACGCGGACGGTGAGAGTTTTCCGATGAAAATTTAAGATAAAGAAAAGAGAAAAAGAAGCTTCTAAATACAAAGTGGTCATAAATAATTTTCATCTAGCCAGCTGTGAATTTTCCATGTAAAATAAAAAATGCCGCTTTACGAAAATGGGGGTACCCACTTGTTTAACTCAAAATTAAAAAATCGTGCACTTCGAAAATAGACTTCAATTATTTGAAATTAGTTAAAACAAAAAAGTTTAATTAACAACAATTTATTATTCATTAATAAGTGACACTAATGACAGAACTAGAGCTTTCAAAAAAGTAGAGCGGCACAAATAAAGTTACATGCAAAAAATTCCAAAGCTGGCTAGATGAAAATCATTTATAACCACTCTGTATAAGTAGGTACTATTCAAAATGAAACAAATTGACAAAATTTTTGTGCAACACAGAATATTGCAGTTGTACAAAAAAAACAGTGTCGTCGTAAGGGCTCTTATGCACCTTTTGATAGAAACTGTTTTATCATAATTTTTATTTTTTATACAAGGTGTTTCACAAAATTTTACGAGGTCTGCGCCTGTAATATGCAATCAATAATACAAATTCCGATACGAACTCAATTACAAATTTTAAAAAAACTGGATAATCTTTCCTAGTTTGTTCACCCTTTCAAAAATTACACTGTTTTAGTTAGTTAGTGATTAAGATAGATAAACTAGAATTATATTCATGCCGTCTCTTGATAGAACAAATGATAATTGTTTCTGAAAAACTTCAGTTTATGACTATTAATAAAACATTGATTAGTTTGCCAACTACTGTCATGGGTTTCCAAAAATTAAATAATTAAATATGTATATTTTGTATCTAGTGTTTTGTGATTTTTGTATATTTGGGCGAGTACATTAGGCGCAAGTCTCGTAAAGTTGTGTGAAACACCCTGTATTTTTTTTAAATAAGTAAAGTATGCAACCAAATAAACAGAAAAATATTGCAATAAACAGTGACAAAGAAGCGTATTCTAATACTTTGACCTGTGATGCAAGAAAATAATGCAAATAGAAACTTTAAAAAAGTAAAAAACACAAAAAATAAGTTTAAATTCGTAACATTGTGACTATACGTTGGTGGTTCTTTAATTTTGCTTAAAAGTAGAATTTTTATTTAACTCCACCTTTAAATAGATATTCACCGCTGATTTTGGTTTAATCCCGCCTAAAATTTGTCATGCTCCTCCTATTTACTGTTTAACTCCGCCTCTAGCCTTTCATGCTCCGTTTATTTAAAAAGGATTTTACTGTTTTACGCAGCAAAAAATTAAGGAAAAAGAGTTTTTACAGGAAAATTGTAGGAGTTTGATTTCTACAAATGTCAAAATGTGATTTTATTTTGAGAACAAATTAAATGTACAGTATACTATTTAAACGACAAGGATTTTTGATCAATAAAAATAATAAATGCACAGTAACGACAAAATTGTGGTATCAGAAGCAGCGGTGCAAAGATTGGCGTACGCTGATTAGACTGATTACCATTTGTGCACAGTTTCCAGCCCTTGCTGAAATCATTCATGCGCAGGGGCCCTTTCTAATACATACACCACTTTCCAATAATAATAAATATTCATTAATATAAAAATAACTACCAATAATAAATAACATTTTTGCGCAGGAACCATACATTTTTATGTAACCAAGACTAAACATTCTTTAAATTTTATGTTGTTTTACTAATTTTGATTGAAGTTACTGAGCGTTTATTATTTTTACTGTGCAGATTGGATTTTTTAGTGAACAAATTACAATAAAATACTGTGCGCGCTTTACTTAGCATTTATTATTTTTACTCTGCAAATATTAATTAAATACTGATCATTTATCATTGTATACTGATCAAAATTGAATTATTTACTGATCGCTTTATTACTACCCTTTTATTTTGCATACGAATAGTTTTTCACAGACTTACTAGAGAATGTAAATTTATGTAAATTTATTTAAAGGAAAGGTAAAAGATTAAAACATAAATCCAAGTTTTAAATTTATTATGTACCTGTTGTAATTATAAATAACTTTACAAATTTACAGTTGTCAATAAATAATTAAATAAATAAATTACATAAATAAATAATGATACTATCAATCAATCGATCAACCATTCACAGTCTAAAAAATAACTTAGGTACTCGACAATTCCGACTCTGACTAGTGTTCTACCAGAAATCCCTGTCAGAGTGTTTCTTACACTAGATTTACTCATGCTTTTGTTTATTTTTTCTACAAAAGCGTCATTATTGAGCAATAACATATTTCTTAAAGCAACTAATTATTTACAATATGACTGAGCTTTATTTACACAAAAATGTCATCACTTCACTTATTGTTCTGTATTTATGGAACATGAAGGATAAAGTCTTAGACATTCACGTTTATCTTGACCATCTCTGGCTGCTTGCACATAGCGATAGAATCGGATGACGGCAGCGTTGGTGGTTGTGGGCTTTTGCAGTTCTTTGGAATCTCTGAAAAGAAAAATAACATTAAATATTTAGATTTCTCTCCGATTTCTATTGAAACTAGAAAGCTTGTTGTCAAACAAGGCAATATTTGTTAATTATTTAAAAGTACCGAAAAAACTCTACTATTATCTCAAACTGAATACTAAGCAATTAATGAATAAAAATCGTGTCGGTGAATGTATGGTATATGCGAGATAAAGATCAACAGTTAGTCATTGTGTCGAAAATTTTGGAAAAAACCCAGCGATCTGCACCCTCGAATTTCACTGTGGCAAAAAATGGGGTCATGGTCCGGATTGCTCCGGATATGGACATAAACAAGAGGCGGAGAGAGTGAATAGTTCGGACAAAATTTCGCTGGTGGATGGACGTAAAATAGTGCATCGACACGATGGTTTACTTCTTAACCGGTTCAGTAGTACCACCTGCGTAATCTCCAACACACTGACTGATACCTCGTAACGGTACCACTTATGCCTAATTTATGAATGGCAGGCAGGCATTTGCTCAATTCCTTTGGTGGTACCAAATTGTGCAATTTCAGTTCGCTGGGAATTTCTTCAGGAAGAGATTGTGTGCTCCAGTTTTCGGTACTTTAGACACACTATTGGTAATTTTCAGCCAGAAATCAATCTGAATCAAAGTTTTTCAACAAAATAAATGCTTCAAATACAGTTTTATTCCAGAATAGAGCAATTTTCAATCTAATTTTGCACGAATTCGTTCTAAATTAATGTATTTTATTTTATTTGTGCTATTTCCAATCGATTTGGATTAATTTTAATCTAAAACCCAATCTGAATCAATGTTTTTCAACAAAAGAAATGCTTAAAAAGCAGTTTTTTTTCCAAAATAAAACAAAATGAACTACTTCCATTCCATTTTTGCTTAATTTTAACACTGAAATCATTCTAAATTAATGTACTTTAAAAAATAAATGCTTCAATCTCAATTTTAGACTGACATGAAGCAATTTATGCTATTTTCAATCGATTAGGCTTAACTTAGAGCCAAAAATCAATTTGAATCAAAGCATTCCAAGAAAATAAATGTTTACGTAACAGTTTTCGGTCAAAATAAAGCAATTTGAGTTTTATTCCAATCCAATTTCGCTCAATTTTAACACATTCTAAATCAGTGTCTTTTACAAAAATAATTGCTTAAAATCAAATTTTAGGTCAAAATAAAAAAGCAATTTGTGCTATTTCCAATTTTAAATCGAAAATCAACCTGAATCAAAGTATTTCAACAAAATAACTGCTTAAATAAGAGTTTTCTGCCAGAATAAAATAATTTGATCTATTTTCAATCCCCTTTTGCTCGATTTCAACATAAAAATCATTCTAAACCACAGTATTTCATAAAAATAATTTCTTATAATATAAAGTAATTTGTGCTATTTCCAATAAATTTAGCTTAATTTTCACCCGGAAATCAAGCTAAATCAAAATATTTCAACAAAAGAATAGCTTAAAAAAAGTTTTCTTCAAAAATGAAGCAATTTCAGCTATTTCCAATCTAATTTTGGCTTAATTTTAACAATTTTAGGCTACAATGAAACAATTTGTGCTTTTTCCAATCACTCACCTGCTTAATTCAGCTGAGAGAAGATTACTATGCGGACTGAACTTGACCGGATTTTTGTACATACTACAAATGAGTCGTTCCCGACACGGCTCCTCGTTGAACCCCAAACCGACTAAAATCTTGTCAATTTTTTCCAAAATTGGACTGTAGAACGGGTCGTACGTGATCGCGGCGGCTTGATGAAGAGCTGTTTCAAACGGCGTTGGTTCTTTTTTCGTTTCAGGTTGTTTGACTTTAGCCGAATAGACTTGTTTTTGTTCGGTTGCAGGTGTTTGAAGATTAGTACTCGGCGGTACCGGTAATTTCGCCTTGACTACAGCGGCTTGTTGTTTGAGTTTTTCTTGTAGTTTCAAGGCCAGTTTTAATTGTTCCTGCAGACGGGCGTTTTCCTCCTGTATGCGATGTCGTTCCTGCTGGAGACGAGCTTTCAATTTGGCTTCCTTCTCGGCTTTTAGTACCATTGCTTCGATTTCGCTGGGTGTCAATGGACGATTCGATGGTTTTTTATTGCGAGGTGGTTGCACTTCGTTGTCTTCTTGACTGTCTTGCCGATGGTTGATAAAACTGCAAATTGGTTAACCTTGTTTTTAGATTATTTTGAAACGATAAGTGAGGTAGGTCAGACCTACTGAACCGAATTATTTTAAGTAGCTTATTAGAATTTAATTACTTTCGTTAACCCACTTACTGGTGTGATAAATGGGGTCCTCCGGAGTAGTACTCCAATTCTTGTTCATGGGGCTTGTAGTACGTCTTGTGGGGCTCTTCTATTTCTATAGAATGGTGCAAGGAAGCCCCTCCGTGGTGCCAAGGCCCTTCAACCACCGGCGGCCCTTCCGCATGCGGGTGTATAACCTCGACGGAGTCATGGTGGTGTGGCGGATGGTGGTGGTGCCCATGATGGTGGTGCTTATTATGGGGCGCAACATGATGTATATGCGAAATGTGATGTTTGTGGTGATGGATTTTAGCACCATGTGGTACATACGCGCACAATTTGAAGAAATGATGCAAGGCCGGGAATAGGAAAAGTAGTACTTTGATTAAAAGTTTCTTTGCTGTGACTGCGCCCACGGCCATTGGCATGAAAAACATGAATTTAGCCGCGAGAAGTTTGATCACTAAGAGGATTGCCAAAAGGGCATAGATGAGTTTCTCGCTGATGAAGTTTTCTGGAAAAAAGGGGTACCTCAGCTCAATGTTCCGGTTAAAAAATTGTGAATGGAATTTTGTGGCTTTTGTGTCATTCTAATTGGGTAATTTATGGTTGTGTTGGAATTAATTTGGAAGAGGAAGTGTCCACAAAAAAGTGCTAAGTAGATAGAGGTGTTTTGGCACGAATTTACTTTCTTTCAATTAGTGATCTAGATTTGTTATTTTTGCTTTTTTGAAGAGAGGAAGTGCGATGAATGAAGATAAGTGGAACACACAACATCGATAATTTGAATACAACGAAAACTATTATTGGCCCGAAATGTTAGCACTTTGCATAAATCAGTAATTTCAATATTTTTATGACACTATTGTTGCAATTACATTTTGAATAACTAAAATTTTCACATATAAAATCGAAACAAACATGATGCGCATAAAATCTAGGATGATATTAGCATAATGTTTCTTTTTAGCGCACCAATGGAATTTCATTATTTAATTGTAACTGTTTACGATTTAATTTCTCTTCACATGATGATATTAAATTAAAAACAACCCAAATTACGCAATTTGGACATCTTCAATCCCATCAAATTACCAAACAATGTGCAATTCACTCCCACTTACTTAGCTTCTTGAAGAGTCGTCCTTCTGCAACTCCTTGTATAGCTTTGGGTTGAAGTTCCAACTTGACTAAAGCCCCATTCCCTTCGAAACTCTTCGGCGAAATCTTCAAAACACTGCCTTGAAACATCGTTTCCGGTAATTGTACTTCCATGTCATGGGTCATCAGAAACTTGACACTTTTTCCGTGCAAATCCCTTGACATTGCTTCCAGACTACTCTCCGGTTCCTCCTCATCCCAATCATCGATTTCCGGGCCGGAAATCCGGTCATAGTCCACTTGATTCCTTTTCATTTTAACAAACGGCACCACGTGTAAATCCTCCCGAGTCTCCACCGTACTTTTCAAATACTCGTAGACGGTTTTTTCGACGCAAGCCATCGTCGGCTTGCGGCAATTCTTCAGCAGTGCCGTCCATAAGGAATTTCCCGCTGATAGATTAAGGTAAGTCTCTGGTATTTCGTCGATGGTCACATTGGAGGTCGCGCTCGCTCCGGTCAAAAGTGGCACCAATAGCAAAATTAACATGTCTTTGGAACTTAACATTTTTTTTTCACCAACAATCAGACACTATCACATCTCGAAACTGGACCACCATCACAATCAGGGCATAGTGACGTTCTCCGCTGGCCGGCAACGAGAGAATACAAGAACTTGAGAGCCAGCGATCGACTTATCATTTCATGACACACTTTCCGGCGGATCCCCACTACGCTGGACTCCAGGGATTCCACAAGAAAAATACCGGAAAATTTCAAATAAACCAATCAAAAAATACAAGGGTTGCTACGCGATTACCACTGTTGCTATGCGATTAGTTTGTTTTTTCATTAATTTGAAAAATCGTCAAGACAATAGCTAGATGGTTGCTAGGAAACACCACACTTCGAGATGTGTTAAGTAACGGATCAAGTGTGCGATTTTCGGATGATTGGCTCCGCCTCTAGCTCCGCCCTGTCAATTTGTTTACGCTTTTTTATTCTTATTCTCTCACTGTGTGTAATTGATGCACATGAAAATGAGACGATATGCACCAGATATTCATAAAACGGTGCAGCATGCAAAAAGTGTCTTTTTCCAGATTTGAAGATTCGTGTGTCATAAAGGTGAAAGTTGTGAGAAGTTTAATTAGTTTAAGGGAAAATTGTGATACTTTGTCATAATTATTGCGACACGTTTTAGGTCATGTAGGCGCCGGTTCTCGTGTGATCTACTTGAAGATGGTTTATTTAAGAAGTAATTATTTAACTAATTATCAGTACAAATTGGTGGGTGTGGCTGTTATGTACCCAGAGCTTTCTTCGACAATTATGTCTATTAGCACATTTTATTAGTTTTCGTCTGGAGGCTTTATTTCTGAGATGAGTTATTCGTTTATTTTTTTGGGGTTTCTCTTTCATAGAATGCTTTCACGTTACTTCTGATGTAATAATTTTTTTGTTTGAAATGAGATTTTCTCATTATCTAATTAAATATTTATTAAAAAAAATAAATTAAGTACAGAATTCCAGCAATTTTCAACTTTACAATCATTTATTACTTTATTAAATGACGAATGTGAAAGGAAACCGTACATAAACTTGTTTTAACCCACTTATAAAAATGGTCATTTTTATCTTTTCTATCGCGCTTTTTTTCATCACGACTTTCATGTGATACTATTTTTCATTTCTGTCAACAAAAACACGCACCTTTTTGACCCCTCATTTGTAAACAATAGTCCATATTGGGCCAATCGATTACTCTACAAAATTCCAATTGTTAACACTTTTTTTTTCTGCTCAATGTCTACTTAGCATAAAGTCATAATAACCCATAAAAGCTCTTTCGTACATAGTAATTGATCGTAATTTTGTGATCACGTTAATAAACAGACCATAGTAGATATTTGCCTAGATAATTAATCACGTAATGTGTCATAAAATGTGATATGTTGATAAGCAATTTGTATGTAACGTGTGTCATCTGTGGACGAAATTTGGCCCACTTTCTGGTTCCAATTCAGATCATTAGTAATCCTCATAGGCGGATGTTTTTTCTAGGATGAACAATTACGAAATAAATTAATTAAGCAATTTCAAAATCGAAGACGCGACCTTTCGAGAGAATAAAACACAATTATTACATCGATGTGAGGTTGCATTTTATTGTAGGATTCGCGCCGACTTTCTTGAGCTGTAATATAAATCTGGAAATCGCCAAATATGCCGGAAAACGTGTTGCATTGAGGTCATCGACAGTGGTTTATTTTAAAAAAATTTCAGGTGTTTGTGGTCGAGGCCACTGGGTCATACGTCTTCGATGGCCATAATTAGAATGTCTGCTATCAGTCTGAATAAAATCGAACATTTATTTCAACTTATTTATAGAAGCAAAACATTTTCCAAAAACATTTTAATTAGTTGCGTAAAGATTTTTAATGATGACACTCCTATGCATTCTCAAAACGATTTTTGTGCATAATCAGGAGACAGACCGTTACGTGGAACAATAATGCATTAAATTTTTGATGCATTTCTATTGAATTCAATATTTTTTAACCCAAAAATTGCACAAAATTATAAAACCATTAACACGGTTCTATCTTAAAGAACATATTTTTTATTGGTTAAAGTCTAAATAAAGAAATAATTTATGAATTGTTAGCTACATTCCAAAATACAGGTTGTGCCAGAACTCGCGCCCCAGAGAAAAATACCAGGATACCAAAAAAAATTTATCTATAAAAGTTTCGAAGTTATGAGGGTTTAAATTTTGCACTTTGACTCTATTTATTTCTGTTGGGAAAATAATTTTACAAGTTTTTTGCTATAGGCTACTAAAAACGGAAACAAAGAAGGTGTATCCTAGATTGTAACTCTGTTCAATGTTATTTGTTGCTTTTATTGGCAAAATTTTTGTACCTTTACTAAATAATTCTAAAAAAAACATATACAAAATCATCATCATTAAATAAACATAAAAAATGTCAAATGTCAAAATTTTTTGACAGATAGAATTTTTTAAACATTTTTTCCATGTTCCTGGTACCTTACTTGAAAATTTTCTCTGGGGCGCGAGTTCTGGCACACTCTATATATTTTTTTGGAATTTTAGGCAACCCTTAATACAGTAATTAAACATTCAAAAAGTTGCACCAACGTTAAATTGTTCTTTCTTGTTACTGTTTTTTTTATTCGTTTGATTTTCTGTTTAATAAACACCTTGTAGTGCAATTACAATAATAAATTGCAAAATATCCTTTGATTTGCGTGAGATGATTGTTGTTGATGAAACATTTTATCTCTTTTATGACCTTAACAATTTTGCAATTAGAATAATACACAATAATTGTTATTTTGCAAAAAAAAATATTTGCTTGTATGTTATTTAATAAAAACACAATTTTAAATAATTTTATTTTTTGACATTTATTAATTACATAACCTCAATCTCTAATCTGTCACCTGTATTGCTATTGAATCGCAATCGGTTTTAAAGGTCACACTTTTTCTATAAAAAGAAAAACATGTAAGACCCCTGATAAGCCTTTCTTTCGATAATTTATTATTATTGTTTTCGAGTTTAACAAAAGCCCCCCCTCTGAAACTTAACCTTTGACCATTTCCAACTGTCAACGTCATCGTCGTTCTGTCAATCGCCGTCCCTGAATTAATTCAATTCCGAGCAAAAGCAAGTCATTTCGTGATAAACTCTCTATATTTTAGCTCCTGGGTGTTTTTCATACACTTTGAAAGTCGTAAGTGGGTGTGTCGTGCGTGAAGCCAAAAAAAAATGGGTAAAATAAAAGCCGGTCCTGTTGTTGACATCCTTGGGGATGAAATGACCCGAATTATTTGGGATTCCATCAAGGAGAAGTTGATTTTGCCGTTTTTGGACATTGAATTGCACACTTACGATTTAGGGATTGAAAACAGGGATAAAACAAGCGATCAAGTCACAGTTGACTGTGCTGAAGCTATTAAAAAGTACAATGTTGGGATTAAATGTGCGACAATTACTCCCGATGAGAAGAGAGTTGAGGAATTCAACTTGAAACAAATGTGGAAGAGTCCTAATGGAACAATCAGGAATATTTTGGGTAAATAATCACAAAATCGTGTCTTATCATTACATATTTTTGATAGGGGGCACCGTGTTTCGCGAGGCTATAATTTGCAAAAACATCCCACGATTGGTCACGGGTTGGAACAAACCAATCATAATCGGGCGTCACGCCCACGCTGACCAATACAAAGCCACCGATTTCGTCGTTCCAGGAGCCGGGAAACTCGAAATGGTGTTTACACCAACGTCGGGACAACCCATCAAATACACTGTTCATGACTACAAGGGGGCGGGTGTGGCTCTCGGGATGTTCAATACTGATGAATCCATCAAGGATTTTGCGCATTCGTCCTTCAAATTTGCTCTCAATCAAGGATATCCGCTTTATTTGAGCACCAAAAACACAATTTTGAAGAAATACGATGGTCGTTTCAAGGATATCTTCCAGGATATCTACGACCGGGAATACAAAAAACAGTTTGAAGCGAAAGGAATCTGGTATGAGCATCGTTTGATTGATGATATGGTCGCATATTGTATGAAATCGGAAGGGGGCTTCGTGTGGGCTTGCAAGAATTATGATGGGGATGTCCAGTCGGATTCAGTCGCTCAGGGGTATGGCTCTTTGGGGCTCATGACTTCTGTTCTGATTTGCCCAGATGGGAAAACTGTGGAATCAGAGGCGGCTCATGGGACTGTCACAAGACATTATAGAATGTACCAGAAAGGACAAGAAACATCAACTAATCCCATTGCGTCCATTTTTGCGTGGACTCGAGGACTGTTACACAGGGCCAAGCTTGATAATAACAAAGAATTGGAGAAGTTTGCCAATACTTTGGAAAAAGTCTGCATCGATACGATTGAATCCGGTTTCATGACTAAAGATTTGGCCATTTGTATTAAAGGCATGAATGGGGTCAAAAGAAGCGATTATTTGGAAACGTTCGAATTTATGCAAAAACTTGCCGATAATTTGAAAAAGGCAATGGGATGTTGACTAATTGCGGCAAGACTATAATCACTGTACTTTTTTATATTGTTTGGTACTGTTTTCTGGTGCTGGGTGTGTATATGTAAGCCTAAAGTTAATAAAGAGTAAAAACATTGAATTTTTAGAACATCATAGGGGCGGGGCTTAATTTGACACTAAAGATGTTTATCATAATTTATTTTTCCGTAACTTCAATTTTAAAAATATGATTTCCTAGACTTTTAGTCGGTAATAACAATACTGTTACAAAAAAGACAAATTTTAATTAATTTTTGGACTAGCTCAAACTCTTGTTAGGAATTTTTGGTTTTTTAGGTTGTGTGATGTTCCATGTCCCTAACCTAAATTTTCAAATTGTGACAAAAATTTTATTATTATTTTTGTTTATTTGGAATATTTTTAACGAAATTTATTTGAAAAATGTTAACTGGGTATGTAAATCCATTAGTTAGTATTTTTAAGACCGAATTGAGGTTATGTCATACTTTTGTCATTGTAACTTCAACTGATTTTCTAGTTTAAATAAAAGTACAACTATGAACAGTTCACGACGTAGATGGTCGGGTTTATTTCGCAGTGTACGTGAAGATGAAGATGAGGAACCCTCCCCAGTGGAAGAAAACGGGGAACCTTCACTTGAAGAAAACGAGGAACCTTCACTTGAAGAAAACGAGGAACCTTTGGGAGAAAATGAAGACTTAATGCCTGAAGCCCCAGTCCTGCGAAGGTCAACACGGAAAAAAATCAGGACTAGTATACCAGAGCCTGTCCGAGTAGCAAATAAACCGTTAAAATTGACTGAGAAAAGTAGCCCAAAAGAGATTGAAAACTATTACCTTGATAAACGAGTAAAAAGACTGAACCCGACTTTGGAGACAATTTTCGAAGAGCCTCAAGTTGTAAATAACGAGGAAGTTGTGATGAGCTCTAGAAAATTCAAACGTTCAATTAATTTCAACGTAATCGCGGCGAAAAATAGTGCTAAAATTAAGAAACGACGATTGAAAGCCAAAAATCGAATGAAGAAAAACCGCAAAAAAATCCCTTTAGAATTTGTTATGAAGAAACTAGCGACACTTGATGAGTGAATGAAATTACACTTTATATTATTTTTCGTACCAATAAATATTTATTTTTTGTGTATGTCTTTGTTATGAATGAATCCGCGTTTGCGCCTCACTCCACGTGTGATTCTGACGCAATCAATTCGTCCAAGGCCGCGAAATTGGCTCAAAATCCGCCAAATAAAAATGAGTTAACCCGCGACGGCCAGTCTCGCGAAAACCGCCTTATCACAATGTCAGTATTATCACGCTTTGTGGCTTTTACAAACCGACACCCGGTGGTCCGCGGAATGATCTCCTACGCGACCATCTGGCCCACGTCGTGCATCATCCAGCAGACCATCATGGGCAAAAATTTCGATAATTACGACTGGATGCAAGCCCTCAGGTTCAGTCTTTATGGGGGGCTTTTCACCGCCCCCACACTGTACGCCTGGGTCCGGCTCTCAACCATCATTTGGCCCAAAACCAACCTGAAAACGGCGATGACCAAAGTGAGTAAATTTCAAAGGAGAAAATTGTATTAAAAAGTGGTTTTGAAGGCCGTGGTGGAACAAATGAGCTATGGGCCGGCCGCAATGGCTTGTTTCTTCTTCGGGATGAGTCTCATGGAGGGAAAATCGGTCCAGGAAGCCAAACATCAAGTCGAATTGAAATTTTGGCCCTCGTACAAAGTAAGTTTGGAACGGATTCAAAGTTTTTCACGTGATTTTGAGGACTTTGGAACGTGGAATTACGGCCAGACTTATCTTCCAGATAATTCCACTGTAAACAAGATGTTTCTAGCGTCTAGCAGTTTTCTAATTATTTTACTAAGGTTTCAACTAATTGAATCCTTGTCATCCTTGTCATTAAAAGACATTTTTAATTGTGATTGTTTTTTTACAGGTGGCGATATGCTTCTGGCCGGTTTTACAAACAATTAATTTCTGTTTTGTACCTGAAAAAAATCGAGTTCCTTACGTAAGTGTCTGTAGTATGGTTTGGTGTTGCTTTTTGGCATACATGCATCAACTACAAATCAAAAAACAAACCGAAGTTTCGATTTTAAACGAACAGCTTTTATAAAACTGACGATAATCTCAATTTAGTCCAATAAAATGTAATATCTGTTTAAAATTGCTGGCTTGGCGGTTGCTAAGAAACGATAAATTGTAAATGTCATATATTGATTGTCCTAGCAACGGACTTTAATCACCCGCACAGCAATTCGAAACAAATTATATAAATCTTTGTGATTGCTTTATCTGTGTTACCTAAACCGATTTTTTATTTTATGTAATAAGTGATAAAGGATGTAAATTTAGATAGATAGATAGATATTTATTCATGTTATTTATAAAAACAATATTTTTGATTAATAAACATAATTTTTTACTTTCGTTTTTGATTAAACACAGTGACTTTTCGAATCGTTTAGCGAATTTGTTTCGGAAATTTTTGGCTTGGTTCTCTTTTTCGTGACCCATACATTTAACGCGAATATTAGTTCGACCTTGAGTGCTTGTAAATACGTCATCTAAAATAAACTAAGAATGAAAAAAATCACAGCCAAAAAACCTACGTGTTCCTCCACTGAAACGTTTCGAACGTTCCAAAAAAATTCAATGGTGGCTAAAACAAAAGCAACTGCCATCCCCACTCCCAGTACTAGAAACACCCCTCCAACATTATCCAAAGCCAACTCTGTTGAGGTTTTTTCCGACTGTCTTATTGGACAAGACGGTTCATCTCGCATTTTTTTCCACCATTTATTCTTCAATTCGGTCAATTTTGCTTCTTCCTGTAATTTCAAAATGGCGGTGTTTATGGCACTCCTGTAGGGATAATCGATGGGCATGGCAATGCCATATTCCTTGTTATCCAACCAATTCCCGACTTGTTTCAAGTCACACTTGGTCTCAATTTCGTACTCAATCTGCGACGATTCCATCAAGAAGGCATAGAGCCGATTCTTTGTTGTTTGGACTCGTTTCACGCCATCTGCGTTATTTTTTTCAAAAACACCTGGTTTTGCTTGAGTCATAGTAGTCCACATTTTTTGATACGTTGAGTAGTTTGATTCGCGAAAGAAGGCTTGAGTTGCTCCACCTTCAACTGTTCCGTATTTGATCTTCGTTTGTTTGGCTAAAGCCTCAGCACCGTCGATAGTTGGTTCCAAGCGTTCCATTGTAAGAAATGCGGCCAAGTTGGCTGTGTATGAACTTGTCATAATTAGAGAGAAAAACCACCACATTGAAGTTGCCAAGCGTGACGAAATTCCCCTAAATAATAATAATATTAATTGTGATTATCAAGTTGGTTTTTACTTTGGTAAAATGTCGCAACCTTGGGTCATTATGGAACCCAAAGTCAACCATAAGCAATTTTTAAGGTTCCATATATTTTCCAATTCTTCAGGATTGGGGTTACACGGGTGTGGATTTTCCCAGTCTTTGGGGGCCATTCTTGCCACCAAAAACAAAATAACTGAAACAACTAAATACAAAGTGGCTGTGTAAATCCAAATTTCTGGTGAAAAAGGCTCTAAAAAGGCAAAAATATTCACATCTTTCTCTTCAGCTTTTTTGTACAAAATACTAATCCCCAAACGCATAAAAGGCATACTGAAATCGACCACTTCTCGTCTTTGATGAGTGATTGTCAGATCGCAGATGGCCAAATCGGCTTTCTAGATAGAGAAATTAGAGCAAGCCATGACAAGTCTACACCTACTCGATCCAGTAAATCTTTAATAAGACCGTTCCAAGATTTGGTCTCGGGGTCATAATTGCCGTATTTTCCGTCTTTTGCCAATCGAAATTCGTATTTAAAACCCAAAATTTTCGCTATGGCATCTATGAGGTCCATGGAAAAACCCTCGTAACGGGCATTCCCCGTCAGGATTTCGCCCTCGTAACGAGGCTTGCGTTCCATCAAATAAGGAGGACCCAATCTAGAGATTTTTATAAAAAAAAATCTAGTGTGAACATCACACGACTTTCCTTATCCTACTTATTTAGAAAACATCCTAATAACGACAATAATTTACGTTAGTTCGGTACCCACTATTATTATTATTTTATCACATTTTATTCAATGAGGTCTATTTCATGATTCTAAATAATTTTTATCCTCATGAATTTATTGGACGGTGCGACCGATTTTTACCAAATGTTTCGTGCTGCGTCCCCTTGCTAAATTAACTCGCATACCAAATTTCAAGTTTCTAGCTCTTATCGACCCAAACCAACTTTTTTGGTGTCTTGAAGCAATAATTTGTCCAGAAATGTAAATATATATATATAGGATAAGGAAAGTAAAAAAAATGTTTTGGTAATGGTAACAACCTTGACGAAATGATCAAAACACCCTTTTGCATATTTTTAACCAAGGCATCAAAACTGTCATTTTCACCCCGCATGAAAGTCAAAATTTCTGGATTTTCGGGGGCCCATTTCGCCACGACATTCTCACGGTTTCCCTCGACCACAAAAATCGTGAAATTGACTCTCCGACCGGAGGAATCAAACCGAATCGGGCCACTAACACCAGAAAATTCCTTCTGAAAAAAAATGAGACACCATCACCAAAAACCTGAAATTTCTCAATTACGACTTTCATGAATGAACTAATCCTGAAACCATGCGACCATTTTTGGAAACCATCGCAAACCATTCGTGCTGGTTCAATGGGATCGGTCACGTGGAGAGTATTAACGCAAGTGATGAATGATTGAATGGCGTCATGAATTAGGGCCGTTTCAGTCTAAAATCACACAATTAAAGTGTGCCAAGGAAATGCCAAAACCCACTCGGATCGAATAATTGAAACTGTGTTGTTGCCAATTTTGGCTTAAATCCAAAATTCGGATTGTTGTAATGTTGGCAGTGGTGTTTAGAACTGAAAAATCCAAAGTGTGTGCATCCAAAGATGTTAAAAAATAATTAAAATAGGACGATTCCATCAAGTTGACTTCTTTGGCTTGTTTCAAAATTTCGATGATATTTTCAGTGGCACAGTCGAGAATAATCCGGTTGTGATTCAAAGCCCGGATTTCTTTCAAGAGGGGGCGATGATCCGGTCCTGTCCCCAACTGTCTTACAATCACAGAACCGGACTTTAAATTATTCAATTTTAAGATTTGTTGTAACTTAACAAGACCTTTATCATTGTCATAAAGTATAACAAAATTCCTCCACTGTAAATTCTTTACGATGGTCGCAAGACCGTGCGAAAACAAATACGAATCGGGGTAAAAATTGACCGTCATTTGTTTATTTGAATACGAGGCAGGGCGCCATTTTGTCAAAATGAAAGGTATTTCCAGACGATTACTCAGTGATTCGAAAATAGGTTTTGAGGCGAAAATTGCAGCCAATCCGGGCCCTTCTTGCGTCACATTACACACTACAAAGTTTTCAGTTCAAGTCATATTTCATCTGATTTTTACTTACAAAGTTTGCAAGAATAAAACGAATCATTCTGAGCTAAAATTTGGGTTTTGAGGGCATATTTCAAATGTTGTTGCATCACATTTGCGGTGTCTATGGCGTAGTCGAGGGCCACTTTGGACTGGACATCTTCATGATCGAAAAAAGCACCTGAAATAGGCTATGACGGAAGAAAAACACGTGGGTGGGTTACGTACCGACTGTTATTTTGTTTTTTTCAGCGAGACAGGAGAAATAATTGTAAGTGACAAAAATTAAGAGCCAAATTACGTTTTGGTAGACGATTTTCATTGTTAAGTGATAAATCACAGACACGCGACAGTTGTGAAGGGATCAAAATGGGCACACATGGCTTGGAATCGTGCCAAATACTTTTCATGCACCGAAAATAGGTCTAAATTGGGTTGGTGGGCGATTTGTCGAGAATTTCAAACAAACTGACAGATTTTTGGTAGAAAAAAATTCTACTGAAAAATATTAAAGATTATTCAAGGGGTAAATCGCAACCTTATAAATTTTGTTTACCACATTTAATTTTTTTGCTTTCATTTCTTATGATTTCGACATGATTTTTAATTATTTTTACTAATTTCAACAAAATAATGAAATAAAAAAGGTTTTGATTATGTAAGAAATTTTCTCGATAACTATTTATCGTGAAACAACGATCTTTTTTGTATATGATAGAAAATTAAATTTTCTTTCCAACGGTACCAAATATAAGAGGTTATCTCTAATAAGTCCGGAGTTATTGCCATTAAACCGCTCGGGGTGCCAAAAATCTACCAAAATCTCGACAAAAATCAAAAAAATTTTAACCTTAAAATTCTTCCATATAACGTTTTTTACATTTCTAGAGGTTTTAAAGACTCAAAAAAATGCATAAACCGTTATTGGGTCAAGTTTTAAAAAATTCGAATTTTTTTAGTTTTTGAAGGTGAGCGGTAGTAAAATCGTAAAAATAGTCAATTTACCTACCATAAGTCGAAAAAACGCTTAAGATATGGTTTTCTAGACATAAAATTACGCCCTGAACTACTACAATGCATAGTTTTTGAGATAATGAGTAATAAAATTAGTCGAGTTTTTGCGCAGTAAATTTCAAAATTGTTAAAACGCTAAAAAAATTGTAAAACTCCTCTCATTTTAGACTTTATTGTTGGATTTATCTAGTTATCTTGAAATACAGAAGTTGAACTTCTGATTTATTTTTTTTCTTTGTAAGAGCTACGACAAATATTTAAATTTAATGTTTTTATTATTTTAATTAAAAAATTACAAAATTTAAAACTGTTATGAATAAGGCTCGGATTATATGCAAAATGCATATTTGTCATTAAGAGGTATATCAACAAAATTGTAAGTTTTCTATGCATATCTAATGTTTTTTGATAAGCTAAATAAGCTAAAAAAATGCATATTTTGGCAACTTGGTGCATATTTTAGGAAATATTGTATATTTGTGCATATTTTCTTCAAATCACTAATTTCCGATTAAAGATTTCACTTCAAGTTAAAAATTGGACAATTTAAGAAAAATAATCCGATTACAAAATATTTTAAAGAGAAAACAACCGATAATTCGTAAGCCAAACTCAAAAAATTAGTACCCTGCTGAGAGTTTTTTTTTAAATCATTTGTTTCCAAAAAATAATAATTAATATAAATTAAAGTAATATAAAAAAAATATTTTTTAAGAACAAAATTTTGTTTTGTTTTTGAGTTATTCGATTTTTGTTGTCTAAATTGCGATATACATACGTAAAAAAATAATTTTATATAAAGTAGATAGTTGTAATTCCTTAAATCTTGACCTTCATGAGAAAAATGTTTTTTTTTGTTGGGTCGCCATTTACAAAAATAAATATTTTTGTAGAACTCAAAAACAAAAAAATAAAAATTTTGAAAAACTTTATTTTTGATAAAACATCACATTTCTATAGAACTTTATAATTCATCAATTAGTTTTTTCAAAAAATAAATACTTTAAGCAAAAAACGTGATGTGATCTGAAAAGTACAGATTTTTTAGAAAGGGTTAATTACTAGGTTATTAAAATGGCTTGTCTCACGCCAAACCAATTTATTTATTCTTTCATTTATTGTGTGCAGTTCAAGATGACGAAAATACAAAGTTTAGTGTATTCGAGGATAAAAATTTATCACAACTTTGATTTTTTATTGTTAAAAATTTTGCATATCGATGCATATTTGGCATATAGTGGAGCATATTTCTTAATATTTTGTGCATATTTTACGAATTTTTCGTGCATATAATCCCAGCCTTAGTTATGAAATGTGCTTGCCCCCTAAACACTCATGAAACCGACGCCTATGGTCAGTAGTGTCCATAAAATGTCAAAAAATGACAAGTAGTCAATTTTTCATATGATTAATAAGCCCCTTCTACGAAGGAGCCTTACTAGATATTAAGTGTTTATAAAAAAAACATAATTACATTTTTCTGTTTTTATTCATTTATTATAGTTTTCGAGTATAATTAAGAGATAAAATTTTTTGTTACTGGGTAAAGATGAGTCATCCTTCGAGATAAGAGCCCAATTAAAAACCCAAATATTTTGTGGGAAATTCGTTGTTGTAAACAAGATTTAGTGTCCTTGTTTTTCAAATGTGGCGCGTCCTCGACCTCGTCCATTGCCATCGTCTCGTTGTCAAAATCAGCTGTTTGTCAAAAGTGTGTCCACAACAAATTTCTATTGATGTCAGATAACGTTTGTGGTCGGCCATCCCGTCGTCATCGTGTATAATGCCCCATGAAGATTTATTAATAAGCGAACGATGTGGCTCTTTGGGCAACCCCATCAAATACACTCGTCAAGGTAAAAAAACGTAGAAAATTTCTCTCGAATTTCCCCAAATTTCTCTTTCGAAAACAAGGTCAGAACGGTATCATCCGCCACCGCGAAATAGGCCAAGAATCCGTGGCGGATACCTTGCTCCAGAGCGTTTTGGGCTTCTTCCGGGAAGTCCTTTTGCCCCATGGCTACCCAGACAGTGTAAGCGAAGATTACTTTGAGTACCAACTATGGGACACGGTCCAAGCATTTTGTAGTACCATCACGGGAATTTTCACCACACAGGCGATATTAAAGGGTGTGGGGGTGGGCAGTGCCGAGGCTTCGGCCCTTTCGGCCACCATCACCTGGATTATGAAAGACGGCACTGGAATGATTGGACGAATTGTTTTCGCATGGTGGAAAGGGTAAAACACACAAAACACCCCAAACACTCCCACCAACTGTGTTTTTTTCTTACAGCAAATCCCTAGATTCCAATTGTAAAAAATGGAGACTTTTCGCTGATTTATTAAACGATGGAGCCATGATTCTAGAACTATCAATACCACACCTCACACATCTCTCAACCGAAATTTTATGTCTTTCAACTTTAATGAAATCAATGGTAAACCAAAATATACAGAGTGTTTCAACTGTCACATAATTCAGGTGGGAGTTGCAGGTGGCGCCACTCGAGCCTCCATAACCAATCATCAAGCGATTAAAGGCAATATGGCGGAAATTGCCGCCAAAGATGGCAGTCAGGAAACACTCGTCAACTTGATTGCGAGTTTCACCGGAATTTTTTTAATTAATTACTTCACGGACGCAACCACTCAATGGATTGTCACTTTTCTTTTAATTTTCCTCCATTTGTATTCAAATTATCAAGCTGTCACTGCCCTCATTTTCAAAAATTTGAATAATTTGCGAATGACTTTGGTTCTGAAGAGTTATTTGGCCGTAAATGCGGTGCTTGGGCCGGAACGTATCAATAAAATGGAGTCAGTTTGTTTGGGTTTTGGGACAAGTGTTGAGAAGTTTTGCGGTTTTAAGATAATTCTAGGACAGCCACTTGGAAAAACTTTGCGACGTTATAATTCCGATGAATTGAAATGTTTGACGGAAATTTACAAAGATAAAAAGTATCTGATTGTACCTGATTTAAAAACGAGGATTATTTATGTCACTTTTGAAAAAGGTGAAACGCCTCAAGAAGTTATAGCAGGTTTTTATCATGCAGTATTACTTGGACTTGCCACTTGTATTTATAATAGAGTTACGCTTGTATGTTTGCGATTAGTTCATTCACGAAAAATTATGCGTTTTTCTTGTAGGAAATTTATTCAAAGAGACAGTTACATCATTCCACTCCAATCACAAGATTAAGTACTTTTATGAAAAACTACCAAAATAATGGTAATGTAGGTAATAATCTCCCCGCGCCGCTCCTGCAAGCCTTTACCGAATTTGTGGGACAAGAAATCGAAATGTTTTTCACAGCGTTGCAAGTCAATGGTATTTTCTCACGAGTTAAATACCTTGTTTCTATTTGTTTTGTTTTAGGGTGGAAAACCGACAGTCACTGCCTTTATGTGGACGAGTGGCGAGCTCAATGGAAAGACTTTGATAAAAAGTCATTATAAATATTTTTATACAGTTTTTATGGTTGATTGAATAACAGTTTTTGATAAAAATATATATTTTTAATATAAATACAGTTATTTATGACGTGGGTGTTGGTTCTTTAGGCCCTGTTTGCGACAAATGTTTGACAATATCGACCCAATTCCAGCCTCGGGGCTTCTCCCCTTTACTGTCGATTCGATTCCATTGACGACGTTTTTGTGCTTTGGTCAAGTGTTCTTTTTTCGGAACTTTCTGACTCGTCGTCTGAAAACAAATTATATAATTACGTAAATCATAAAAATTATGCTTACTTGTTCGAGTTCGGGACTTGGGGACTTTTCAACCGTTTCAATGATCTCTTCAGGTTGTTCCAACATCAGTTCTTCAAATTTCTCTTTGATAAATTCAAATAGAGAGTAAGTCATTGACATTCCCAAAAACTGTAACGCTTCTTCTTCCACTACAGACACTATTTTGTCTTTCAAAGGCTTTGTACTAAACAAGCGACTTAAAACGGGTTTTTAAACAAGGGGGCACTTACATGTGTTTATTGTAAAACGTGTCCATGTTAACTTTAGGCGCTTCGTTGGGGTATTTTTCACCCCATTGTATTTCCAACAGGAACGATTTCATGGCATCACTTTCCCCAAACTGAAAAAATGAAAATTTTACCAGTTTTTGGCCCCCTTAGTGACTTACTTTATATTGGAAAGTGTTGGATGAAATTTGTTTAAAACAGTTGTCTCCGTCGTAAATTGACGATAAGACTTCGCGCTCTTCATCTTGAAGCTCAGTCTCTGACATTGTTACGATTTAAAACATTTCTATTTACAAAAATGTAAAATTTTCTAAAAATACATAACCCAACTTTCGGGAAATATAACCTCAAGAATTTGACAGTTGACAATTTTTTTAAATATAATTTTATTATACAAAAATACAAAAAAAAATCAGGATTGAAAACTAGTTGAACTCGTCGATGACATGCTGTCTTGGGACTGCCAGCCGCGAGACGGTTTAAACTAAAACACACACATAACCTTAATGTTTCAGCAAAAAAATCACTCACATTTTTCAACCGACGTATTTGGTCTAAACCGTGGGGTAAAATCGGTCTAATTGAGTTAATTTCCATCAAAGTTAAATTATTAACCTCAGCAAAAGCCACGTTATTCCTAACCAACAAATCTATTGAAGACCTCAATTTTGACATCCTTATATCCCAAATATCCTTAATTATTGTTCTTATTTCATCCGCACGCGAAATATCTTCAAAGGCACACCCCAGAATCTGCTTTGCCTCAACCATGTAGAAATTACTGGGCATTTTTGTAAAGTTCCTAAAATTCCAACATTTCAATTAAAATCCTACAAAACTAATGTCACCTTGAGAGTTTTTCTTCATTTTTAATCGCCTCCAAGGTCTCGATATCCATCCAATCGGGGGGCTGAATCTTGCAATGTTTTTGTTGTTTTAACCGAACAGCAACCCATAATGGGACCTTGACAGGCATACCCATACGAAATGGGCCAAAATCACCCGAAATTAACTTGAGAGAGTCGTCATCTGTAGTCAATGGAACAATCGTGACGAGCTGTTTCTCACCCAAAAATTCGACTTCTTCAGGATCCATTTTTGACGTTTGAATAACCTCAATTCGGAATTTTGCCGCCAAAATTACAGCGCATGCCCAGTTTCTTAGCGGTTTTAGAAAAATAAAGTGTTAAAACTGTTTTTATTATTTATTAAATTGTGTTCGCTAATAAATTACTACAGTAAATGAAGTTGTTTTTTTAACTACTCGGCTTTTTTCACGTGTTGAATGCTTCTTGTGTATTTGTTGTAATGAGGATTTCTTTTAACAAAAAAATGGAAATAGACATTTTCCACGATTAATACAACAACACTGATGAAATAGCCGATAAATAGGGCAACAATAGCCCCAAAAAACTTCTTCATATTCATAATCGCTTTCATTTCTTCTTGTGTGCTTTGCACTTCTGCATTTAAAATCGGCGCCATGACATCTTGCAGCCATTTTTTTACTAAACCAGCTTCCAAAACTCGTCTTATATATTTATCAACTCGTGGTTTAATCGGAGAATTTTTCTGCAAACCTACAAACCAAATTGTAAAATGTATTTCCCGAATTTGTTCTTCAATTTTATCACCGATCGAAATGGGCATTTTGATAACACAGTCCGTCATTATATGCAAATTACGATCCTCTCTCGCAATATCGCGCATTTCTCTTTCGGACTGATTTCGAGTGGTTCTCGCGATTTGAAATCGTAATTGTCTTTTTACTAAAGCTTCCTTGAGGAAATAACTGTTTTCGTAAAATGCAAACACTCCTTGTGCTACTTTATCGACAGCTTCGTTCGAATCGTTAACTAGTTCGAAATTCTCGCCGATTAATTTGGTGATAGAGTCGGGGGATGATTTGAAAAACTGGCGATTTATGTCGCCCCAACCGCCGCATTTCAAGTGACTGTTTACCAATTCTTGGAGAGTGTCAATTGTGACCCTAAAACGGAATAAAATCAAGGGAAAAACAGAGAGGAAGTGGTACCGGGGAGTTGGTCGTGCTAAAATAGCAGTCATGCTAGCCCTATAAGCAACCACGAGTAACAAACAATACAACCAGTACCACCCAGTTAACATACGAAGTGACCAACCTGTTGGCAATTTGGGTAAAGAAACTAAAAGTAACATACTGTAGGTATAGAGAACACTATTAATAGGTTCACTAAATTGGTAGAGTCCTATAGACTGGCCTTCAAATCTCGGTGGTATGTATTGTTCCCTCATTTTCGTGTATTTATCGTTAGAATCAAGTTTCTCAATTTCGGGATAAATCGCTAAAGTTATGATTTTCTTCCGTTTTGTGTGAATTTCTAAAACCTTAGGTTTCCGATTTATACTTTCATGGAAACGTGCCAAAGCATGAAAAACTGCACCACAGATGAAAAGACAAACTAAAACTGCAGCCCACATTGTTGGTCTAAAATTCAAAATCAAAACAAATCATGACCAAAATTTCAAATACTTGAACGGTAGAATTAGTGTTTTCCATGAATTATCAGTCAGAGATTCAGGTGTTAGAAACGTGAGACACTCAGTATTATATGGAATGCTCAAATCCATTAAATCAAGTATGTATGGGGTGTAGTACAAATCCCCTAGTGCTATATCAGCTTTAGTACCAACCATTTCCCCCACTAACCCTGTGTACTTCCCCGAACTTTGTTTCCCACCCCATAAATCCACGTCGACATCCACCGGTTCGTAAATCTCACAATGGAAGTTCATCGCGGCTGAAACCGTTTGCAAAATCTACAAATAAACACAAATTCGTGACAACTCACTTCAATTTCAGTCCCTGAAAAATTCCCAATGACCGTTCTTTCAGTCTTCTCTTGCAGACTCTTTGTGGTACCTGGAATGTGGCTAAAAGCCGCAACTTTGAGAGTTTGGTTGCGCAAATCGGAGGTTTTGTCACGAAATAAATCAATTCCTTTGCGAAATTTCGATTTGGTCCAAATGTCGAGACGTCGAGGGATGAGGATTGAGGTGATTTGGGTGGGGAAAGGCACAGTGGTGATTTCATACCAAGGCATGTTTTTCTTGGTGTCGGATTTCTGGCCACCGTATCGCCGGATAAAGATCACATTGATTATGCGTTTCCATAAATAGAAAAGGGTTTTGTCAAAAAGACGGTTATCGTAGAGAAGAACAAACTGAGAACGGGTGTTTATGACTCGGTACTTATCACCAAAACGTAGCAAACGTGAGACTTGAAGGGCATTTGATAGCAGAATTAGGTACATTTGACAACCATCATTTTTTGCAGTTTCGAGACAAGATTGGGTTTCTTCAAATGGTGAAAGGAGATCTTCGTACTCATCCACACGTATCTAAAACTCGATTTAGGGTAAGAAAAACGAATTGGTACTACAAGTACCACCACAAAAGTAATAAAAGGGCCAAATCTGCGGTACCATGACTTGGTAAAAGTACCACTGTAAATATCGTCACTTATTATAACGACACATTTGTAAGGGAGCAAATTTTTAACCATTACTTCTTGCAAAAGCAATTGGAAACTTCCCTCATCCTCGATTTCATCATTGTGCAAAAGCGACTTAATTCTAGAATTTTTTTTTTTGATTATTTCGCCAAAAAATTAATTCGTACCCATTCTGTGAGGAATAACTGACGAAAAACAGGAAATGTATACTCACCAGTGTGAGAAACATTTCTCGACTAGTTTGAAACACGCAAAACTTGATTTAAATTAGGTTTGAATAATTAAAAAGGTCAATTGTTCAATTTGAGGAAATGAAAAAACAAGAAGCAATAAATAAACTATATTATCAAAATTAATACAGTATCAAAAATATTACAATTCATCACGAACTTTTTTGTCATCTTCTGCAAACCATTTATTATAAACATTGAAGGGATCAATCATCCAATGTTTATGAAACGACACAGCATCCTTTGTTTGCAAATACTGAGGAGGATAATCCACTGGTCTTGCCTAAAAACGACAAATTTGCAAAAACCTGGGCTAAATTCAATTTAGAGCCCAACCTGATGAAAAAGAGGCGAGTGCGTCACACTCACACCCAAACTGGCAATACATAACCCTAGAAACATATCATCTGGGGTGTTTATAGACGGGCATTCGCAAATTCCAGGTTCTGTTAATTTTTCTAATAACGCTTTACTAAAAACCATCCCACCTCCACCGGTTATATAGTTGTAACCTCTGGAATCGTAGACGTTATAACCGTAGCGTTCACCCAAAGCCACCGGATTGGTGGAATTGTAACACGTGAGTACTTGTCGCATTCTGGAAACTCTACACAAGGGTTAGGAATATAATTTTTTTCTACTACCCTAGAATGGTATCGTCGTCGGCTAATACAATCCATTTGATTTGTGGTGTGATTTTCTTGCGGATGTGGTGGAGGATTGCGAGAGTTTTGGCACAATGGCCTTGTTCGGTGTTGGGGATTCCCAGATTAACGGTCGGGATTGAATCATCTATTGTTAAATTATAGTTATTTGTGTTACAAGGGAAGAAACTGTGTCGTTTCCTCCCACAGGTGGAAGTTACAATAAAAACTTTCCTCCAGTGTAATACACATAATTTTTACTTTCCTTATCCTATATATGTGTGTCTGTGTGTGTGTCTGTCCGTCTGTAAACAGCATATCTCGAGAACTATAAGAGCTAGAAACTTGAAATTTGGTATGTAAGTTATTTGAGCAAGGGGACGTAGTACAAAACAATTGATAAAAATCGGTCTCACCGTTTGGCGGCAAAGATCAAAAGTCGACCGTAAAGCGGCCGCAAAATAATATTATTGAAGATACAATAAATTCTTAAGGATACAAATTATTTAAAATTATGAAATATACATTATTAAATAGTAAAATGTGTTAAAATAATAATAATAATGGAACTAAAAAAAAACTGCACCCCGGACTCGAACCTGCGTGTAATCCGGCAGTTGGCACTACCTTATTAAAGAGTGAAATGTGATAAAATTTAAAAACTATTTCTCGTGTTATCTGGCAGGTGGCACTAACGCAAAGGTAACACTAAATTATTGTCGTTTTTAGGATGTTTTCCAAATAAGTAGGATAAGGAAAGTCGTGTGATGTTCACACCAGATTTTTCCTACAATTTCTCTTGTTATCCCAGTATCGCTATTAAATTTTTTATCTTTTTTTTGGGAGTAGTTGGAATATGGATTGCAAGAAAAATTATTTACTTAAGAAGAATTGTGTGGATTACCTGCAATGTCACTAAAAAATTCAATGGTGGCGACATGTTGGGCCCATGTTTGTAGTACCACTGGTACTCTGTCTTTGTGAAATTTCCCACACGTTTTCACCGCGAAATAAATCGACTCTTTCTCAACTAAATCGCCCTAAAATCGAAAAATAACACAATTGGTGATGTTTTTTTCCAACTTACACATTGTTGGAATGTTTTTGGGAAAGTGGCACAATCCTCGTGTTGCGTGATACAAAAAATCGGTTCATTCGTTAAAACTTCTCCAAGACCTTTATTCCATACAAAAAGTGCGAATTCGTGAGCATTGTCTATTCCAAAATCGGATTGTGGGGTTTTTTGTTGAGCCAACCTGTCGGCTAGTCTGAATTAAAAAATTAAAAAAGTCGAAAAATCACAACGGACCTTTTGAGCAAATTTCTTGAAACGGCTATACCTGACGCAGGATTCGGAAATTTGAATTTCTTCGGATTGTCATAGAACGCGAAATGATGAATGATGGTAGCTTCAATATCGTGTAAAGAATGCCCGAGCCATAATGGCTTATTTGGGTCGTATTTACTCAAAGCTTTTCGTAGATTGGCAAGATTGATTTGAGTTCGATCTTCAGCGAAGAAAAACCACGAAGTATTGTCTTTGTATAAAGCGTAAAGTTGCGGAATCATTGGAAGAATGGTCCAATGGCCGACATGCGGAAAATCTTTATGTGAGAGATAAACGACCGGTTTTTCCTGCAAATGATTCAAAAACTTAAATTTCCGTTCCTTATCGTAATCGAAAGTTCGTGAACAAACGTTTTCCGCATTCAATTTAACACGAAACGCGAATTCAACTATCGTAAATCGTACATTAAAGGAGGCATAATTAAGTCTTATCGATTCGTGAGCTGTTAAAAATTAAGAGCGAATTAACTGGACTCACCTGCTGCAAGCTTTCGGCTTGTTCGTTGAGTTCCTTCTTTAAATTTTCAGCGATTTTCAGGTGGTGTTCGTTCGGCTGACTTAAAATAATTATTGCGATATCTTTTGTAATGCCTGAAATCAATTCGAGCTGAAATTTAGATTCATATCGCGATTTTCGATACAATCAAAATGCTAAACTGATTCGATGAAAAATTCAACACATAAATCACTTATTTCCCGCCGCCGCCATATCTCCAACATCACCTCGAAACTGGAACTTATTTATTCGATACTTCGTCGCGTGATGGCAAGAAAGTTTTATGAAGAAGCTCATGTGTTGATCCACATGTCGGAAAATGAGGTGTTTTCACACAATCTCAACCAAATTTTTGCATTAAAAAATAAAAACGCAATATTAATCTCATCGAGTACTTTAGTAAATGAAAACATAATATGAAATTATTCGGTTACGGTCGGTTGCACTTAATTAATAACTTCCTCATCATTGTAAACATACGTTTGTAGCAATTAGAGCAAAGATCGGATTCTTGTTTTGGCAACTTTGTAACTAATTAGCTGTCAGAACGTTTCTCCCGTTCAATAGATCAAAAAATATTGGAAGAACGTAGAGTTTCCTAACAAAAATTGCTAGTTGCTTTATTAATTAGCCGTCATCCATTATACAACTGCCTCTGTGATAAATTATCCCAAAGACAAGAAGACAGCGAAAAAAATGATCGATTAAAGCTTGCAAAAAAATGAATATAATTCTGCTGATATATCAATTCCCCTAATTAAATAAGTTGGTTTAAAAAGCTCGTTGGCTCGTTAGAGCTGAGAATTTAGCCGACCGGAAACGAGTCAGACGTAAGATAAATCACACCGCAAACAAACTTCTTCCGCGAGTTTTCAGAGAAAAGCTCTTGGTTCTCGCTCCGGGCTAGTTACCGGATCATCGACGGTCCGGACTACGTGATGCGATTTACTAAATTGGAGAGAGTATTGAATTTCTTCGACAATGACAAAAATCGATCAATTACGTAAACGACCGGAATTAGATTTACGCTACTTGAAGAAATTTTAAATTTAAAGCGAGTCTGAATGGAATTTTACGACTCGAAATTCAATTTCTCGACGATTTTTCTTTTTCTCTGATTATTTCAAGAGATTTTATCTTTCATTACCGTTTTTCCTCGTTATCTTGTTTTCCTCGTTTCAACCACGAATAATTAACTTTCTCAGGTAGTTTGAATTCTAGCATCATAAATCTCTCACATAACGAATTTCTTTCTGTTCTCGTGGTCGTGAAAGTCGTAATTTGCGCCTCAAGTTGGACGTGTTTTCCCTCACACACTTTGAAATACGAATCGAATATAATTCTCTTTCCCTTTATCTATTTCCGATAGCTACTCTGCATGCACCTCGGTATAAATACGTAATGTCTCCACCCACCCATCCCCTTCTCCTTTTAAACAACAAATCATCGTTTCGCAAATCCCCCTCCTGTCACTTAAACATTTGACAATCGTAGCACGTGACTTGTCATAGCAATCTCTGATCCGATACGGTGGCCGTTTAAGGTCATTTCTTCGTATTTTTACGAGATCGGCAAACGTTTCTCGTTTTATTCGTTTGGCGTTTATTGGATGGTAAATTTCGAGACTTTATACTCGGGCAAGACGCTCATTAAGCATTCAGATGAGGTGTCATAGGATAAACAAGGATTCAAGTTAATTTTAACAAGAGTAATTAGAATTAGGTGTGAGAAAAATTCATCAAAATTTTGAAATGTCATAGAGATAAAATCAATAAGAAAGTTAAAACAAGAAGTGTGCAACTTGGACGTGACACGAACACAATTTTACAAGAAGAAATATGAGGATTTCGAAAGCAAAGTTTTCAAAGACAAAAAATACAGTTACAATAAAAAAAAGTATGAAAAACTGGGAAATTGTTTATTTTGTTTAAAACCTTCTCGAAACTCGAAAAGCTATTAAAAATGCAAAACATCAACTTACCTAACGATGAGACAGTGGCAAAAAGCAGTAAAAAGACAGCAATGGTCTTCATCATTCCCCTAAAAACGTAACATAATCTTGAGTAAAATACTCTTAATTCAAACTTTACGTTTAAAATGCGCGACTTGAATGGGAAACTGTGCGAAATGTTATCGGTGACAAACACGCGCAACCCTCTTTTAAAGCCAATGGGAACGCTTGCGCGCAAAACGATTTTTTTTCTTTTTCGACTTTATAAATTATTAACTTACGATAAAACTTCAATTGATTTCTCATTAGGCTCTAAATGGATTTATGAAAACGACAATCTCAAGTGTAAACCTCACAAAATAATCAAGGGGTTGAACAATTTACATAACCTTAATTTTGGTATTTTACTCACATTTTTAGTGGCATTTTATGTAATTTCCAAGTCGTTGAGTTTCAATTTTTTTGTTTTTTTTGTGAACTGAGGCGATTTCGTTGTAAAATGAGCATTTTTTGCTAGAATTGTGTCTAAATCAAAATAAACAAAAACTTGTGTCAAAATATTGACAGAAGTGCCACCTATTAGCGAGAGGTTCAGTTTGGTGTAGAGTTGCCCTTCTCTAAAGAATTCTTCAAAAAGAAAGATATTTCATTCAGATGCGAAACGATGTCTCTTGTTGTTTTTTTCATATAAATTAGGTAAACCCGTTTCTGGACCAAAATAATGTCAATAGTCAATAGGTCGAGTTATCGAAATGAAAATTTTAGATAAAGTAGAACCAAGATCATAAAACTTTCACCACTAATGTGTGTAAACAGGTTGTTTGAATATTTTAAAATCGACAAAATTATTAATTTCGTTGTTCTTAATTTACGACTTTTAAAAAGTGCATAAAGTTTCTAGTCATTCATCTCTTATTTGGTATTTCTTTGGTCTAGATTTTCCAATGAAACATTCGTTCATTAACGACTCGAAAAACATAATTAAAACTATTGCAATGTCTGATTGATGAAAGTTACTGATTTATTGCTATAATAAAAAAGACAGAGACAAGTTTCAGGAATTGGAAAAAAAGATAGGTGTTCTCTGAGTGCATGATGGAACGTAGAATTCGCTTTGAAATTATACAGGGTGGCGCAATGAAAACGGCCCACCTCGAATATCTCAGAAACTAATAGGACTTTGTAAAGACGACAAAACAGGTCAATGTCCCTCTTGGAAGCAAAATTGACCTGTTTCGGCGTTTTTGAATCATTTCTGATATATTCGGGATGGCTCGTTTTCATCAGGCCTTTATTTCCAGAGGTCTTAAAATCTGAAAAACGTATATAAAACGTTATTAGGTTAAGTTTAAAAAAAATACTAATTGTTTGAGTTTTTGAAGGTGAGCGGTAGTAAAATCGTAAAAATAGTCAATTTACTAAAAATCGTAAAAACGGTTGAAATATGGTTTTCTAGACGTAAAATTACTCGCTGAACACGATTCAACTAGTTAGAATACTCTACGATGCATAGTTTTTGAGATATTGAGTAATAAAGTTAAGAATAAGGCAAAAAATCGACCAGAATCTCAAAAAAAAAAAACAAAAAATTTTTCAATTCTAAAATTAATCCATATGTCGTGGGCTAATTACGATTTCAGTCTTTTTTTAAACGCCTAGTCTTTTTATAAGCGACTGGGCAAATTGTAAATGAATGAATAAATGTAGAGTTTTTACATTGTCTATAAAAGAGTGGATTTTGGTTTAAAAAAATACAACAATATTTAATAAAAGTGGTAATAAAAAATGTTTTAAATAAATTATTACAAAACGCAACTCACAATACAGGAAATGTGTATAAATTTTGCCTAATTATGCGAAGTACTGTGCTTGATTTTTTGGCGAAGTACTAAGCTTTAATTTTATCGAGATACGGCGTTTGATTTTATTGTGAAGTACTACGCCAATTTTTATAGCAAGTACGGCGTTTTTATGTAAGTATGATCTCTGTCAGGTGACGGCGTGCTCGCGTCCGACCCGTCATACAATCGTACGCGATATATACAGTCTGACTGCCTCGAACGCTGCCGCTCTGGTATGTTAGTGGTGGTTGTGTGAGCTGTACTCCTAGTAGCTTTTGATTAAACTCAGTTTAATTTAAATAAGAAATACGTCGATTCGGGTTGCGATGGGAGACTTTTTAGATAATACTTTTTAGGTTTTAGCCACACCTGCTTTAAAATTTTAAATAGGGGATGAATCTTAAAATGTAACTAATTTTGAACTTCCCTCTCGCGATCCTAATCGACCTGTTTCTGCTTGAAAATATATTTACTCAATGTAGACTGGCTCCTTTTCAAATGAAAGCCCTTTATAAAATGAAGCTTAACTCTAAGCTCGGAATCTGTGATTTGAGTTTTAGAAACTCTCAAAACAGGTGAACAGAAATCATCCAATCAAAGGTTTTTTGCTCAAGCTAATCATTAAAAAAAAACTAATTGATGAATGATGATGATAAAGTACTGAAATGTGACATTTTTCAAAAATACAATTTTTGAGTAGTGTAATTTTAAATTTTTTCAAAAGCAACACCTTATAAAGACTATACCTATCTATCTAAAGATTACAACAACATACCTACATTTTATTTTCGAAAAAAATTTCATATAAGTTACTATTTTATAAACATCGCAAAACTCAAAAACAAAACTAAATTTTACAAAAAAAAATTTAATTCAGGCCTTTGCTTCTTCACTTTTATCCTACCCTGTGACGTAAAAGGAGTTTTTAACTCAAAAAAAATTTTAGGTAAGTTTTTTAAACTTAAGATAACCCTATCAAGTGACCCCCCCCCATACAAATCAGTTTTAAATGTAGATTTTATTTTATTTTTTCTAAGCGAGATACACAAAATAATATTTTAAAATTTCTTTAAGGAACTTTTAAATGTTTTTTGCAACTCTAGAATTTTTTTAAACCAATTCATCTGACACTTTCTTAGTCTCCCCAACTGGCTTTTGTAGTACGATGTTTTGAAACGTCTCGATTGGCATTTTTACTACTAAATTTAAACATTTCCCTAAGATTTTTTCTTCTTCTAAAAATCAAAGTCAGTACATTTAACACTTTCTTTTTACTCCAAGCCAAACTAATCCGAAGTAACCCAAAGTGGCATAAAGTGACCTGAACCGACCTGAAGCTACTCAAAGTGACCTAAACATTATTTTTTACAATCTAAAAGACACTTTACTAAATAAAAATGAAACTCTTAATCAAATCCGATAGGATTTGACCACATTTACCAGTTTTTAAAAAACTAATTGATGATAAAGTACTAAAATGTGACATTTTTTCAAAATACAATTCTTGAGTAGTGCAATTTTTAATTTTTTCAAAAGCAACACCTTAAATTTGGGGTAAGTTTTCTAAACTTAAGATAACTCTATCAAGTGACCCCCTATACATCTCAGTTTTAAATGTAGATTTTATTTTATTTTTCCTAAGCGAGATACACAAAATAATATCACTAGATCTTGTAAAGATCCCTTAATAGGGGATATTCATTAATCCAGCAATTATAATATGTCCATCTCGAGTAAAAGTAAATCGTGCAAACTCTCAATTTTTTACAGTTGTTTCGTGTTTGGTAAATTTCCATCATAACATTTCCTCCCGATTTCCATACTGGGTCACTCGCGACAAATAATCGCACTATAAAAATACCAGTCGTGTCTAAAAAATGCAACCGCCTTTGGCAAACTCCGTCGAAGAATGAAAGAGACCAGAAGAGAGAACTACCCTCCGGCTCGGTTCGGCCAACTTGACGAGAAACTCCTTCAAGTTAATTTCCACCAGGTCGACTCACTCCCAATCCTCTCTCGTCCAATCTCTCCATGTCTTCACCTTCTTGGACGAACCTCCGACTCTTCAAGTGTGTCAGTGTGCCGCTGCTGGATCTCCAGCCGGCAGCATCTTGCATTCATGTCGAAACTCCGGTGCAATGCGGGACTCCGGTGATCGCATCCGTCGCGAGAGAACTTCTCCGACGAGTTCGAGAACGGTGTTGAGACGAGTGCTGGTGCTATCCGAGGGGCGGCAGTTCAGAGAGGCGGCGGCTGTCTTGCAAAAGCTCAATTGTAATAGTGTGGCGGCGGTGGCGGCCGATCTGCCCCTCGACTTTCTCGCCGAGGGGTTGCCACATTCGGCGCAACTGCTGGAGACGCTCTTCAATAAGTGAGTGACAAAAAAAGCGTATTTCAACACCAATTCGGGTGCTGAAATAGACTAGTACAATTTATTTTATATAGGTTGGTAATGCTGATTTTCAGCGGGTTTTGAGCGATTTCTCTTTGTCAAGTGGTGTGCATAAAATATTTGCTGTTTTCATTGTTAATTCAAAAATCTGGTGTAAACATCACACGACTTTCCTTATCCTACTTATTTGGAAAACATCCTAATAACGATAATAATTTAGTGTAACTTTTGAGTTAGTGCCAACTGCCGGATTACGATGTTTTGAAAAGTCTGGATTGACATTTTTTGCAATTGTTTGCAATGTTTTTTTGCAATTCTAGATTTTTTTTAATTCGGTACATCTGATACTTTCTTAGTCTCCCCAACTGTCTTTTGTAGCACGATGTTTTGAAACGTATTGATTGACATTTTTACTACTAGATTTAAACATTTCCCTACGAATTTTTTTCTTTTGAAAATCAAGAAGTCAGTACATTTAACACTTTCTTTTTACTCTAAGCCAAAGTAATCCGAAGTAACCCGAAATGACCTAAACATTATTTTTTACAATCTAAAAGACACTTTACCTCAAAGAAAAAATTTTGAAAAATATTCGAGACTTGACACTTTGAAAATCGAATTTTTCAAACATTTATCACCAACTACCACCTTATTAGGGCAAAAGTTCCTCAATATTGAAAAATTGACTTTTATGTTAAAAAGGTACAAAAATGCGCAAAATAGAAAAAATAGCATAAAAACCTTCCACAAAATTTGCCTTACGAAACGCGTTCTTTAATATATAGGGTGTTTCAATGAAAACGAGCCACCCTAAATATCTCAGAAACTAAAAGGACTTTGCAAAAACGCTGAAACAGGTCGATTGACGTAACTTTTAAAGCACCCTCAGTAACCCCTTAACCCCCACGCACCCCAACTTTAAAAATTTAAATGGCACTACCCTACTTGTAGCACATCAAATGAAAGCAATTTTAGCAAGGTTTTCAAAACTTTATACCAAAATTGAATCTAACCATCCATTCATGGGATGGGTGTTCTAATAGAAACGAATCATCTTAGAAAAATTTGCAAAAAAAACCTGAAACAGGTTAATTTTGTTTTTGACATTTTTGACCCAATTTTAAAAGCACCTTCACTAACCTTTTAACCTCTATGCCACTTAACTCTTAAGTGTCAAAGAGCACCAACCACTAGTGATACAAAAAATTAAAACACTTTTAAAATGCTCTTTAAAAGCTTTTTTCCAAAAAGAAATGATTTTTATACATTCATAAAATATCGGCAAAAAAATAATCTTTTAGCAGTCAGTATGCACAAAGGGACTTAAGAACTATATTGCTATTTTTTAGATACTTACATTAAATTGTAAGAAACGTTATTACCCCCTGTCCTTTAGTCCAATTATTTTGACAATAAAATAAAGAAATAAAAATAAGTTTGTTACAGCTTCAATAATACTTATAATTTATTTTAATAGTTTTTATTAGAAGTAATTACTAATTAGAAACATAATTTTTTGCGAATATCTTATGAATAGATAATCCCATTCAACTTTAGAAAAGAGGTTCAAAGAACATTAAAAACACTTTTATTTGATCTGTCGCAAGTGAGTCGGTGTCATTTAAAATTTCGAAATTGATTTGGAAAAAGTTAAAGGGGGTGCTTTTAAAATTGTGTCAAAAAATGTCTTTTTTAAAAACAAAATTATCCCGTTTCGTTTTTTTTTGCAAATTCTTTCTGGATTGTTTTTATTAGAACACCCTGTATCTCATGAATGGATGGTCTGATTCAATTTTGGTAAAAAGTTTTGAAAAGCTTGTTAAAACAGCTTTCATTTAATGTGCCACAAGTAGGGTAGTACTATTTAAATTTTTAAAGTTGGGGTGTGTGGGGGTTAAAGGGTTACTGGAGGTGATTTAAAAATTATGTCAAAAAATGTCCCCTTCAGAAACAAAATCGACCTGTTTCGGCGTTTTTGCAAAGTATTTTTAGTTTCTGAGATATTCGGGGTGGCTCGTTTTCATTGGAACATCCTGTAGGTACTAATTCAAAAACTGTTACTCTAGGTCATCTTTTCCTAGCAAAAATGCTGCAATATAAATAAAATAAATTCCAAAAAACACAACTTTTAAGTGTTTTGTGCTTTTTTAGTAAGAAGTTTGAAAAAACTGCGCACTGTTTTAATAAGACATGAACAGAGTTTTAATCAAGATTTTAATAGTAGATGAATTTCCCTTTCGGACCCTCGAACTTGTTCGGACCTCTCGAATCGAGTAAAAGTTATCCCATTTAACTTATCAAGATGTGTTTGATTTAAAGAAGAGTAATAGCGTGCCATTCCTTTTTCTTGTTTAATGAAGAAGGACGATGTTTTTGTTTGCCTTCGCGTGTCTTCTTCAATTACCCAAGAGGAATGAAGCGTGGCGGAATTTGATGATTTTATTGTAATGTCAATTTGCATGGCTTTTTCACGCACAGAGTTACCGTTTTCGTAAACAGTTAGAGGGATTTTATCACGTAGTTGGTGAAAGAAGAAAAAAATTCTTCAAATAACATTTACAAAAATTGATGACAATATTTTAATTGCAGGTTTTTTGATTTATGATCGTGTTTTCAGTACGACCGTTATACTGAGAGGAAACGATTTACTTTCTTCGGTTTCCTTTAGTCCAATATGACCTCAATCGATCAAAAACAAACAAGTTATACTAGACCCGATTATTTCTCATTTGGCGTGTTTTCTTTTTCAAAAAAAACATCTGCTAGTTTAGAAAAAGAATCTCTATTATTTATAAACTAGCAACTGTGTTATTATTTTATACTTAACACTCTAACACATTCATAAAACTCCGTTATTTTCACACGTGCAATTCTCGAAATCCCAGAATTGTTTCATATTTTTTTACTGTTAATTAGTTGAAATTGAGACAAAGCTCTAGTTTTTACTTTTTAGGTTAATAACATCAGGTCAAAGGCCAAATGTGAACGCCGAACAAGTGCTCTGGCAATTGGTCAAACTGTTCGCCTCACATGAAGACCCAACGCTCAAGACCAAAGTTGCAAGATTAATACAAATCCTCGTCGACTATCAACCGGAATTTCATCGAATTTTATCAACAAAGAAAAAAGCTCTCGAACATGCTATACAAGGTGAGAATAAAAAAAAGATACTTTCTCTCCTCAAATAAATACTCAATTTGTGTTTGGAAAATTAGCAACTATTAACACAACCACAATAATTAGAAAGTGTACAAACACGTATTGTGTTGATGAGAAACGGACGGTGAAATCCTGCGGAACAATAGCAAAGACAGATTTATTACACAGAATCTCCTAATCTCATTCTGATTATTATCAATTAAAAAATCACCCGCCACTGGTGTGCTATATTGTTACCATGACGACGTTTATCTTTTTAGCTTTTATTACCATGGTAACATTAAATTTTATTAGATTTCCATGGCAACGGAGTGAATTTACTAGCCATAGGCGACTCGTCTGGGATTGAAAATGGGTTTTTTGATAGGTTTGGGGTGCCACGGTTTGACCCCCGACGCCAGCGGCTTGACCCACCTCCATGTGGCCATCAAAGCTGAACTCCACCGTCACATCGATGCCTACAAAAACGCTCTCCACCGACTTGATGAACTTGGCCTTGCCGCTGCCAACTCCAAGAAGCCCGTGGATGCTTCCCACCAAAGACTCCTCGCCTTGCATCATTCCGAAGTCCAGCAACGACTCATTGACAATAAAACACTTCTCACCATCCTCGACAAGCCCGATTTGAAGCAATTGCGACCGTTGGTCGACACTTTGGCCACAAGAGTGCAAAATGACAAAGAGGCGCTTTTCTGCGTGTCGCAACTCAAGAGGTTTGTTCCCTTTTGGTTTAGTTAAATTTTGCAAATATCGATTTTAGGTTACATCCGAGCTGTGAGGAGAAACCTGTAGCTGCTCTACTGATGGCTTTTGCACGAGGATGTGGCGCCCTCTTGGAGCTTATGCAGACTCCGGAGAGTCCTTGCAGCAGCGATGGGTATCACTCGGAATCGGAACAGGATAATGATCGAGGGTGAGGGGGATTTTTTAGAGGAGAAAATCGATTTTAATTTTGATTAATTTAATAAAACATTTCGTATTACAAGTCTTGGAGTTTAATTAAACTAATTGCTGCTAGATTGGCCGTATGCGAGGATTAGAATCGGCAAATTAAATGGATAAAATAGAGAGTTGCTCGATAATAATAATTATTATAAGCCGACACGCAAATTATGATTTGTCTTTGAAATAATTGAATTTTCCGAGATTTCGTGACGAAATTCACAAGCTTGACTTGCATTAAAAAAAATTTCACCTTTATAATAATAAAAAATGTTGATGTTATTATTGTCGTAAAATTTGCCTCGTTTCGGAAATGGTTATTCGTGTAAACACACATATCGGATTTTCGATCGCAGTAAGCATTAAAAAACAGCAAAGCATCGAAACAATCGAATCAAACCGATTTCCACTAACGCTAGACCTGTCTCTAATTGACTCGTCGTCATGGCAACATTGAATTCAAATGTTTCACTACTAGTGGTAACTCGATATTTGATGTTTTTGAGTAAAATTGCTTGTCACTCAACTCTTTGGTTTGTTTTTAGGAAAGACCTCGTTGGTCGCTACGCCTCCCTCTACTACCAACACCGTCCTCGAGCCCTCGAAGCCCTCGATTCCCTTCCCGAGTTAGCCCACGCCACTCAACTCAAATCGAAAATCCTTTTCTCGGTGGTTGTCGTAAGTAATTCGATTAGTAAATTGGGCGTAAAGTAACGAGGGTTCGTAGCTCGCTTTCAGAACCTGCAAGAATCTACGCGATACAAAATTGAAAGAGACATTCCGAAATCTGCATTTGGATTGTAGGACAACTGCTGGTCATCATCTTCGCGATGATGTTGTGAGGTGTTTGGCCGCCTGCGCCGAGAGTTATCCTCTGGGGGAGGCCGAGCACCAGGTGCGAGCCCTGGTGTGCGATACTCTTAAAGAGTACAAGTGTTTGGAGACGTGTGCGACGTTGAGGAGGTATGTGGGGGACGTCACCAGAGTGGCATGGCTTTTGGTCAATCAAGTACCGGGATATGAGCTCGATACGGATTTCCAGACACCAGTGAGGCTTAAAAATGATAGACATCAGAGACACCACTCGGCTGATAGGAGCAGTGATGTAGTCAAAGGGTATCTATGGCCGGCTTTGATTTTGCAGAATGTTTGCGTGTATAAGGCCGTTGTGGTCACTGGAGGGACCTGAGAAGGCTACTTATTTTTTACAAATTTAATTTACTCAACTGTATTACTTTGTATTTTGTAAATATTATCGCATTACGTTTTATCAATAAACTAAATAAAAGTTTATTCGTCGTTTTAATTACATCAACAGTCCCATTATCGACGAGTTGGGTTTCTTGAGGGAAGGCTTCCGTTATATCGCATACTAAATTTGGTGAAATGGTCGAAAGATTATAATTTAATCTAATCGCTGATTCCTTATTGATAAGTGACCTTTATCGAATAAATTTCACCTTCCTTCAATGCAGTGAATACAAACGAATTTAGTGGAAGTGAAACCGAATTTGTATTTATAGTAAGTGTGACTTACAGTACATTTATTGCATCTCTCATTAGGATTCAAGGTTCTTGAAATGAGGTGTCTCAAAATGTCTCCAAATACTAGCTTGTACCCGTGATTTAGATATAAACTTTTGTTGTTTTTCAAAGAAGAAATGTGAAGTTAGTCTGTTGATCTATTTTTTTTCTTGATTCATTAACTCAAACAACGCAGAAGCAGAAAGCGAATTCTTAAGAAAATGACGAATGTACGTTACCATCGCTTACACCCCATTTCACCTCGTTGAATTTTCAAAAAGTGCACTTCCACTCCCACAAAAATCAAAATTCTAAATTTCATGTATATATTTTCGTTTAAATGGGTGCACCTTATTTCATCCCATTATAGGTTGGTTTTTGAGAAGTGTCTTCACTCTATCTATTTTCCAAATTTCATGTTTTATCTTCGTTTAAACGTGTACATCCTATTTCACCTCCTTAGAAACTGATTTTTAAAAATCTAGTCTTAGTGCCCCTTTACAACTGCTAAAGAACATATCGTTCAAATTTTATGTTTCTATCTTCGTTTAATCGTTGGCAAACCCATTTCACCCTCTTATAAATATATTTTCAAAAAATCATTTCTTGGTGGATCTCTGCACTCTCTAAGGAATATGTTTCTTAAATTTTATATTTTTACCTTCGTTTAAATGTTTACACCCAATTTCACCCCCTAAGAAATTGGTTTTCGAAAAATTCTTTCTTAGCAGACATCTACATGCTCTAAGGAACATATCAAATTTCATGTTTTTATTTTTGTTTAAACGTATACACCCCGTTTCACCTCCTTTTCTAAGGGAGCAAATAAGTTTTTAATTATTATTTTTGAAATGCACCTTTACAACCGCTAAGGAACATATCTTCCAATTTTTTTGTTTCTATCTACGTTTAAATATTTACACCCTATATCACCCCCGTAGAGATTAATTTTCGAAAAATCCTTTCTTAGAGCATTTGACAACCTTTAAGAAACATATCTGAAAAATTTAATGTTTCTATTTTTGTTTAAACGTATACACCCCGTTCTTCCAATTTTTTTTGTTTTTATCTTTGTTTAAAAGTTTACACCCCATCTCAACCTCCTCAGAGATTGTTTTTTTTTTAATCCTTTCTTAGCGGACCTCTACACCTTCTAAGAAACATATCTGCCAAATTTCATATTTCTAGCTTCAGTGGTCAGGTTTAGGCTGTCCGTTGTCTGTCAGTCAGTCACGGAACTCTTTTAAATATATACCAGGTGAATAAAAAGTAGAAACGAAGCGTTTTTCTCGTAAACTAACCACTTTACAAAAAAAAATAATTAGTGTAGCGTAAAGTCCAATTAAAATGTGACCATTTATCAAGAATAACATTTTTCGAAATTTCTTTTAGTTTTCGAGTTCTGAAAAAAAAATTTTTTTTTAATGGCAACCCAGTATGGTAATTTTTTTAATTAAAGATTATGATCTAAAAATGACCTCTAATTAAACAGAATTGTTTTCTAGTCAGTACTTTTTTTTTAATAAATTGTTAAAGTTGCGTTCCGAGCCCATCACGAAGATTTTCCGAACTTGAACGAGGGAGTCGTTTCATGACTTTGGTCGTTGGTTTTTGGTGCAGGTGCTTTGGGGTGGTTCCGGATGGATCAAAAAATGTAAAAACAAATCATTTTCTTCTATTTTTAGTCCATTCGAAACCACCCCAAAGCACCTGCATAGAAATCAGCGCTCTCCCATGATGAAAAGCATGAAACAACCACTTCGGTTAAGTTCGGAAAATCTTCGTGATGAGCTCGGAACGCAACTTTAACAATTAATTAAAAAAAAAGTACTGGCTAAAAAACAATTTTATTTAATTAAAGGTCATTTTTAGATCATAATCTTTAATTAAAAAAATTATCATGGTGGGTTGCCATTTAAAAAAAAATTTTTTTTCTAAAACCCGAAAACTAATAGAAATTTCGAAAAATGTTATTCTTGATAAATGATCACATTTTAATTGGACTTTACGCTACACTAATTATTTTTTTTGTAAAGTGGTTAGTTTACGAGAAAAACGCTTCGTTCCATACTTTTTATTCACCTGGTAGATTAAAATCTTCAAAATACTTTTTGTACAAATATCAATCTTAAAATTTGTGTTAATTTAAAAAGACTAATTTTTTTTGCCATGGCACAGTGTTTGGGTTGTGTTCGAGTGTATATTTTTTTTAATGATGTTTCATGTTTAATTTTTTGTTTAACTCTTCCATTCAATGTTGAAATTTTTCGTGTTACATTTGAAAATCGATCGTTTCGAAAAAGCCCTCGTCCCCCACCCGTCGGTCACCGCCGCATCACCTCCTCGTGTGAACCTCTCCGTAGTTCTCTTTTCGTCCTAGTGGTGGTGTCGCGTTCGGTAGATAGATAGACAGACGACGCGTGTCGGTAGTAAAGTCGGTGAAATTTGCAGAGAAAGTCGTCGTCGAGTGCGTCAGGGTGGCATTCCGAGGGTTGCAGACACACCCCGAAGCGGCGGCAGCATCCCCTTGGGTGCGCATCGAGGGTGCAAGTGCATCAGCCCGACCCCCAACCACCCCCATAATTAATGGAAACGGGTCGTTTACGGCCCGACCCGCCGGGTAAAAACAACCACCAAACTGGAACTCATGGAATTGGAAAATATCGTCGCCAACACAGTCTATCTAAAAGCGAGAGAGGGTGAGTCCACACACATTCTAGGGATGCGAATTCGAAAACCATTTTCTTCTTCTTCTGCAGGTGGTTCCGATAGTAATAAAGGCAAGAGTAAGAAGTGGAGGAAGATTCTGCAGTTTCCCCACATCTCGCAGTGTATAGATCTTATCAACAAAATAGGTGAGTAGCACGGTTTCTAACACTTGGGGGACCCCCAATACCAAAGTGAGGTTAGGTGCAACTGCCATTACTGCTCACTTTAATTTACAACAATTATAACTAAAACATTACTAAATTAACACTTAAATACTTTTCTCATTCATTGTTACCCGATTTTTTTTAACAATTATCACAATTTTACTAAACGAAAAGAAATTCGTTGACACTTGTCACTCAAAAGAGCAAACTTGATAATTGCATAATTTATTTTTTTTATGACAGGTCAGTGGCGTAGTATTTTTTCAAAAAAAAAGATAAAGTCTGAATTTCAATAATAAATCATTGCTATCAGTGAAACACCCACTTTGACATTTTATTCAAAACTCGTTTGTCACCATTCACGAATTGTAAACTAACTTAAATAATATTTATAATTCTCAAAAAAATGGTATTTCAAATAAAAATCTTGATTTACATTAATGCGTTGGATTATTAGATCGTCTAGACACTCTAGACGTTCAGATTGGATTCGTACAAAGAGACGAAAAACTTTAAATTCCGTTCGAAAATAATCACAAAATAATAAACAAATTAGAGTTAATTTCCGATTGATATCAAGGTCAACAGTTTCATTTAACCTCAAGTTTGTAATACTCTATTTACGCTTTTTGTAATTATTTTTAATTTATTTTGCTTCCAAACGGTTTTAAATAAAGTCAGCTATGACGTCAGTTTTAAAATTGGTTTCCATAGAGACATATAAATTTATTCGCGCCAAGATTTGAATATGAAATAAAAATTTAATGAAAATCGAAATCAATTCTCAAGGCAAAGCTCCCGAAAAAGCCGCAAATGGGAAATTCGTCCGACGTCAATCGGCAATTCGCGGCTGGACGTCCTATTCTGATAACGAAACAATTTCCTCTGAAATCTTTCTTTTTTTTTCGTAGTATGCGTTTCGTTGAAATTCTCTCACGTAATCGCAAGCTGTTTCTTTATTGATATCCCGGAAACTACCCTCCTAAAACCGAAAGTAAACTCGCAGATGCGCACAGATTATGGATCTGTTTGTTCCCGAATCGTTGAAAAATTCCTCGCGAATTTTGCATGATATTGACATCATCGAAATTAAAATGCGGACTTTGTAATCACTTGTGGCTTGTTTTTAATCGAAGAAGTTTGCAATAAAATTATTTTTATTCGAGTGCTTTGAAGTCGGTTCGTTTATCTCTTGTGCTTACAGATTTACCACTTGGGCGCGAGATTTTTCTTTATAAATACGACACCGGGCCTTTGTTTGGTAAAATTCTGTGTTTTTCACTTTCCAAAGAGAGAGAGAGAGAAAAATTGTAGAAAGTTATGCAAATTGGTGTTTGGTATTCCGTGCAAAAATCGCTCGTTTTGTTCTCTTCGAGACGACAGTTTGAATTAAAATAAATTGATTGATGTGTTGATTTTTGTAGATGTTCGCTACGAGTACGTGGTGGACCAGCAGCCCATCGGGAAGCTCCTTTTCGAGCAATGGTGCGAAATAAAACGTCATGAATACCACCGTTGTGTCAAGTTCCTCGACGTCGCAAAACGCTATGAAGTTGAAACGGACGAACAACGTTTGGAATTGGCAAACGCCATCAAAAAAGAATTCATGGTCGGCGCGGAGGGGGAGGAAAATATTTCGCTTCCGGAAGTCGGACTTGTGCTTTCGACGAGTGATAAACTAACAAACGGACATAAAGACTTATTTGCACCGTGCGTGCAAGCGGTTAAAGCCTGTCTAGCAGGCGAACCCTTCAGGGAATTTACTAATTCAATGTATTTTCATCGGTACCTGCAGTGGAAGTGGCTGGAAGCACAACCGGTCACTTATAAGACTTTTAGGATGTATCGCGTCTTGGGCAAGGGCGGATTCGGAGAGGTCTGCGCTTGTCAGGTGAGCAAATAAATACTAAATTGCACGTCTTTGAAACGCAATCGATACAACCAAAACTCACTTTTTACTACAAAAAAAAAAAATTCTTTCGATTAAAATCTTTAATAATTGCGTTGTTTATGCGAAAACGCAGCTAAATTACACCGTGTACGTCTTTGTAATGGAGATTCACACATCAATATCCCCTCATTCATGTTCCGGATGAGAAGGGTAGGTATTAAATAATGTGCTGACGGGAACGATTTTCGTTGTAAAAGTGTGCTCCTTATGAAAAACCGGCTTTAAAATTTTTTCCACAGCTTTTACGGTCGCCTGTTCATATTTTTATATGGCGTTTTTTCGTGAAAAGAGCCTTTTAGAATGTCGAAGGTTGCAAGAAATGAGATCATTTTGACGGGTTATAAAAATAGTGCAAATGACGATGTGTAGCTGTTACGAGAAAATAGCCCAGGGCTTTATATATTTTTTTTTTTTTCACTTTGGTCTGGATTTGAAAGTCCAGGGTTTGCACCCCGTTCAGGACCAATTTTTTTTTTTCCATAAATAATCAACAGTCTAGGTTTCTACCAAAAGCATGCTTATGGCACCGTGAAATTGACACACGATACACGTGGTTTAATCACAAATTTGATTGGAGTGGAAATTCGTCCAATTAGAGCGACGATGTGGAAAATCGTCGAAGAAAAGAAACTTTGACGCATTCATTAATGCGGGGCGTTAATTTCAACAAAACTTGCACAAGTAATTCCAATTACAAAAAAATCCACTGAAATTTCAGTAATTCCAACAAAATTTTATTGTTTTTAAATTAATTCCTATAATTCCCAATTAATTATCGTAATTCCACAATAATTCCTGCAATTCCAAATTAATTTCGATAGTTTTAAGAAATTCAACGTGATTTTTAAAAGAATAAATTATCGCCGATAATTCTAAAAAAAAATTCTAATGGATCCAAAAAAAATTCAGTAATTCTAGAAACATTTTAATAATTTACAAATAATTACGGTAATTCAATTCCAGTAATTTTACTATTCCATTGTTTTTAGATTGATTCGTATAATTTTAAATTAATTTCTGTAATTACAACTTAATTTTCGTAATGTTGTAGTTTTTAAATAATTCCTGTAATTTTAATTAATTGCTATAGTTCCAAAAAATTTAACAAAATTCTAGTAGTTCTAAAAAAAATCAGTAATTTCAGAAAAATTTCACCAAAATTCAATTTCAGTAATTTCTTATTAATCCATTGTTTTGAGATTAATTTCTACAATTCCAAATCAATTTCTGTAATTCCAATTTAATTAACTTTCTTATAATTCCCAATTAATTGTCATTATTCCAAAATAATTCCTACAATTCCAAATTAAATCCGATAGTTTTAAGATATTCAACGTGATTTTCAAAAGAATAAATTCTAGTATGTAATTCTAGAAAAAATTTTGTAATTTACAAATAATTCCCATAATTCAATTCCAGTAATTGTGTAATTCTAATATTTTTGATTGATTCGTATAATTTTAAATTAATTTCTGTAATTACAACTTAATTACTTAATTTCTGTTATTATTTTCGATAATTCCAAAAAGAATTTCCAGTACTTCTGAAACAAAATAGTAATTTGAAAAAAAAAACCAGTAATTTACAAATAATTCCGATAAGTAATTTCAAAAAAATCTACCGAAATTTAATTTCAATAATTCTATTAATCCATCGTAATTCCATTGTTGTCGGATTAATTCCTACACTTTAAAATTAATTTTTGAATTACAACTTAATTCCAACATAATTGCGGTAATTCCAACTTAATTTTTAATATCAAAATAATTTTTGTAATTTCAAATTAATTACGATACTTCTAAAGTATTTAACGTAATTTTTGTAATTTACAAGTAGTTCCGGTAATTCAATAATTCTAGTAACATCTTAATTTTCCTAGTTTTTAAATTATTCGTGTAATTTTAAATTAAAAGAATACTAGTAGTTCTAAAAAAAATCCAGTAATTTTAGAAAATTTTCACCAAGTTTCAATTTCAGTAATCCAATTATTTCATATTAATTTTTACAATTCCAAATTAATGTCTGTAATTCCAACTTAATTATCGTAATTCTAAAATAATTCAAATTAACTCCGATAGTTTTAACGCAATTTTCAAAAGAAATTATTTCCGATTAATCTTAAAAAAATCAGTAATACAAGAAAAATTCCATTAATTCACAGAGCCAATCTAAAAATAATTTTAATAATTCCAAATAATTCCAAGCAATTACGATTAAATTCATTAAACTAATTCCAGAGTTAACGGCCCCTCGGCAAAATCTGACAAGTTGAGTCAATTTCGGAGAGAGTAAAAGTACCATATTTGGTCGTGCAAATGTACGATGATTAATGTTTCATAATTGATATAATATTCCGGACTGTCCGGTACTATTGACCTTGAATGAATCACCAGATTCGAAATTTTTACAAACTAGGCCAACAATTAATATTCATTTTGACAGTTTATCTAATTGACAACGAGCAAAATTTTGACAGAATAAACAGTGTGTTTCCAAGGCAACAAGCGTTAATAGGTATTGACCTTGTCCGTTACGGCATTTTGGAACCGATATTAAATGGTGTTGCAAAATCAATAATCGGCGATTGGCTCAATGTGAATTTATGTTGGTGCATCTCTTAATTGAAATTTGTGTTCCGGGTCTAATTAAAATTAATTTCGTTCGATTTGGAGCAATACTAGTGTGTAAATACCCCAAAACAAACTTTTCCAGGTTCTAATCCGATTTTAAGAATAACATTCCACACGCACGTTTCGCCTTAATTGCCCTTCTTCTCATGATTTCAGGTGCGAGCGACTGGTAAAATGTACGCGTGTAAAAAGCTGGAAAAGAAACGAATAAAGAAACGCAAAGGCGAAGCGATGGTCCTGATCGAGAAGCAGATATTGCAGAAGATCAATTCACGATTCGTTGTGAATCTTGCCTACGCTTACGAAACGAAAGACGCCCTTTGTCTAGTCTTGACGATAATGAATGGTGGCGATTTAAAGTTTCACATCTACAATATGGGCGGAGAACCGGGATTGGACATTGCAAGGGCGAGATTTTACGCAGCTGAAGTCGTCTGCGGACTTGATCATTTGCATCAGCAGGTAATTGGCGAGGAAAATTAAGACTTTTAAAGTTTTATTTTGTTGGAAACGACTCGAGCGTGGGAAAAGTGGTAATTAGATCTTTGTTTTACTCGATTGCACCACTTGACTACTTTGATTACGGAAAATAAACGACTTTTGCGATGCTCAAGCTTTCACTCGTCCAAAACTTTATTTTTGAGGAGGTCGGATGTGTGTTTATCATTTTTCTATTGATTAAGACTATAAAAACAGGAAAAACGCGTTGATAATAAATCGAGTGGGATTTTTGTCGTAGTACGCTTTCAGATTATTCCCGAATTTTTTTTTTTAATTACGGCTTTTATACTCTTTTTTATATTAATGTGCATCAAGTAGGTTGCAGAAGTCTAAATGCATCTTTAATTTAAGGGCCGATTCATACATTAATGTCATTCAGAACAAATTTAATCACATCAATAATGACAAAAATCTGTATGTTTGCAACCCTATGTTAATTATTTTTAATTACTTTTTGCTACCTGGGGTAAAAAAATATTTTTAGAAAAAATTGAGGTTAGGATTGTTTGAATTTTTTCAAGGTTGCCACCTTTCAACGACTACTTCGATCCACGTAATATGAAAACAAGTACAGGGTGCTGCATTTTGGATGTCCGCATAGGGAATCTCCGAAACTAAGAGGTTTAGCCAAAAACGAGTAATGCATTCTCTGGCTCATTTTTTGAAAAAATAATATTGGTGAAAACCGCATCTTGCTACCGTCTTTTGTTTTCGACTTACAGACAAAAGTTGACATTTTGGCGAAATCTTAAAAAAATCATATCTTCGTTATTATAGAAGATACGGATTTGAAATAAAGACATTATATAGGCACTTTTTACGACGAATTTAATAATGTAGTTAACTATTTTTTTCTGTTATTTGTTTAGCCGCAATAAGTTTGTATTTTTTTAAATGGAAATCATATGCGGCTATGGCAATTTTGAAAAGCTTATTTTTTTCTGATCTAAAAAATATATATTTGTAACAAAATATTTTTTATAATTATACTTAAGAAATGAAATACATATTTTGTTTGATAATAGTTGGCCATGGAAAAACTATTTCACTCCAAATGTATAAATAGTAATCAATCAAATAGATGAAAAATAGATAAAATTATAGAAATTAAAAAAATACGATACGTTAGAAGTATTGAACAAATATGCGACCGCCTCAGAATAAAATTATTACATATTTTTGAAAAATCGAAAAATAAGAAAAACAAATGTGTCAACAGTCAACACAATTAGAAAAAACATTTTTTTGATGGTCTAATTGAGGTAGGATAACGTTCCACATAGACGGAATTTGAGTATATGAATAGTCATATCGTCATTTTTGTGTCATATAAAATATATTTTATTGAAGAATTAAAGCGGTTTTTTTTTACAACACTCTATGTATCACTAGAAGTTGCAATAGTAATGTTACGAGTAGTTTGTTTAAAAACAAAGAAATGTTATTACATGCCAATAAGTTGATTTACAATTTATTTTGCATTTTTTTCATTACTTAGTACTTAGAAAACTCTTTCATTAGTAATACTGGTTGAATAATATAGTTTAAATCCTTTTAGTTTACAATGCAACATTTTTTCATGGCCAACTGCGAACAAAAATCAAAGATAATTTTTTGCTAAAAATGTATTATAATAATTTGTTACAAATATATATTTTTTAGATAAGAAAAAAACAAGCTTTTTAAAAATGACATAGCCATCTATGATTCCCATTTAAAAAAATATAAGTTTATTTTATTACGGCTAAACAAACAACTGAAAAAAATTGTTAACTACATTATTAAATTCTACGAAAAAAAGTGCCTGTATAATATGTTTATTTCAAATCTGTGTCTTCTATAATAAGGAAGATATGAATTTTTTTAGATTTCGCTAAAATGTCAATTTTTGTCTATAAGTCGAAAACAAGAGACGATAGCGGGATGCGGTTTTAACCAATATTATTTTCTCAAAAAATGAGCCCCAGAATGTATTACTCGTTTTTGGCTAAACCTCTTAGTTTCGGAGATTCCCTATTCGGACATCCAAAATGCAGCACCCTGTATAGTTTCAATTTGTGTTATTTTGTTCTGTTGGTAATCCCAAATTTCAGTATGTATAGTTATTTGTGCTCGATTTTTGCAAGAAATGAGGCGGGAGGTAAGATAGGATTAGCAGTCTCGTTAACTGGGAGTTTATCTCTCAAGTGTTTAAAATATCCCTCTTAACTTTGTTCCAGGGCATTGTATATAGAGACTGTAAACCCGAAAACATTCTTCTCGACGATGCAGGTCACGTAAGGATCTCAGATTTAGGTTTAGCCGTAGACATCCCTGAAGGAGAATTCGTTAGAGGTAGAGTCGGCACTGTAGGCTACATGGGTAAATAATTCAAAGTCCCCCACTTATCACTTATGTGATAAAATTCCGGTTTCAGCACCTGAAGTTATAGATAACGAACGTTACACATTCAGTCCTGATTGGTTCAGTTTCGGTTGTTTGCTGTATGAGATGATTGAAGGCCAAGCACCGTTTCGAGCACGCAAAGAAAAAGTTAAACGTGAAGAAGTGGATCGGCGAGTGAAATCCGATCAGGAGAAATACTCGTCAAAATTTAGTGAAGATGCCAAATCTTTGTGCCAACAATTACTAGCCAAGAGTCCTGGACAGAGACTGGGAGGCAAAGCGGGACGATATGGGGCTGCTTTAGTCAAACAACACGCTTTTTTTCAGAGTCTTAATTGGAGGAGACTCGAGGCAGGGATGGTCGAACCCCCTTTCGTACCAGATGTACGTTTTTTCCCATTAAAATTTAGTGTGTTAATTGATTTTTGCAGCCTCATGCGGTTTACGCCAAAGACGTGCTCGACATCGAGCAGTTTTCCACCGTCAAAGGCGTGAATATCGACGAAAGCGATTCGTCATTTTATAGCAAATTCAACAGTGGTTGTGTGTCCATACCATGGCAAAATGAAATGATAGAAACAGACTGTTTTAGACAATTAAATGTGTTTGGTGTGAACGGTACAAGAAGCAGCGATTTAATCCTACAACCCGTCACGACGACAGAAAACGAAGGTTGTTTTCCTTTCAGACGAAAGGTGGGTCTAGTCTTGTCACAAACCAAATTTTTAATTAGTTTTTTTACAGAAGAAACAGCTGCCTAGGACCAAGCCCATCCCTATAAACCCCTCCTTGTTACCTCAAATGACAGAGAGCTGATGCCTCTAATAATTGAATTTAATGTCGCACACAACACTTTCCTCCCTGTCTCATATTCGTCTTCCCGCGCACGACGATTGTTACATTTTTTGTATATATTTAAGTGTTGAAGCATGCACAATGCCAGTTTTTGGTAGATGATATATTTTTTATAAGTTACTTTTCGAGTCATCTACTGATGTGGAAACGGTTAGTTGTCTCAAAAAACGTATTTGAATGTTATTTTGTTTTTCATTCCACAATCACGTCACCTAATGGATTAGATAATTGATGTATTTCAAGAAGGAAGAAGCAAAAAGACCTTTTATATTGTTTTATTGTGATATTTTATCTGTGTGTTTATGTCTACCAGGACTTGATTTCAACGGCCCAATTAGTTAAGTTCAAAACAGATTGTAACTTGCCCAAACGAGAATTTGTCTAGATTAAGCTCAAATATTAGGATAGAAAAGAAAAATCCATTAACTTTCAATTCTATGTAGCAATTTGTATCATTTTTTTTTATTTAATTAATTTATATATTTTTTGAGCGACTGTTTTTTGTAAATTTGTTGGTCCGTCATTGTGAGATTAATACAGAGTGAATTTAAAAAAAAAACGTCCAAACGTTTGTATACTCCAGGAAAAAATTCCTGACTCACGTTGACTGTTCAACAGTTTTTTTTTAATTATACCTGTTTTGACTTTGTATTGAAATGATTTTTGATAATTAATTAAACATCTAAATCATAATTGAGTTTTATTTTCAACTTGAGCTCCTCGTCTCTTTGTTTTCGTCATTATTTCGAGTTAAGTAAGAGGCGATAAGAGGTCAACTGTCACTAGCACGCACAACTGGGTTGTTCATAATCACATTTATAATAAAATCATGAATGTTACAATTCTTTTATTGGTTTTATCATCCGTCAGTATTTTATTTGCTTCCAATCCAGAGAATTTGAAACGTAGGAAAGCTTCCCTCGTGAAGAAACACCTCAAAAGACTGAAGAAAGTCGAAGGTGGTGTTAAACTAGTCGGAGGAAGGGATGAATTCGAAGGTAATTAGAAATTTTGCTTGGGGTCAAAATTTTGGACAATTTTAGGTAACGTCGAAATCTTGCATAACAACAAATGGGGGGCAATATGCGACGACGAGTGGGACTCTTCTGAAGCAAATATTATTTGCCAACAATTGGGTTATCCCAAAGGTTCCGGGAAAGCCACAGTTAGTTCTTTTTTCGGGCCCGCGAAACGTAAAATAACACATTAATAAGATTTGATTTAACTTTACTTATAGGCAACTTTTGGATGGATAATGTTTTTTGTACCGGTAACGAAAGTGAAATAATCGATTGTCGTTTCGACGGTTGGGGTAACAATGATTGTACTTCGACCGAAGCAGCCGGAGTTATCTGTCACGAAGAAAACCCCAAAGAGGAAATCAAGACGAAAGAGAAGGTGGAGTAAGTCGGGTCGCTAATAATAACTTCCAACATGATTGAATAAAATTTTAAGGACGCTACTGACCCGTCACGAGATCCGATTAAAGGGGGGAAGGATCGAAAATGAAGGTCGAGTCGAGATAAAGAATGAAAATGGACAATGGACGAGCATTTGCGGCGACGGATGGTCCCTCCTCGAGGGCATAGTCGTCTGCAAACACCTCGGATTAGGTTAAAAAACAGTTTTTCTAATTTGCGTTTATAATAAAGTCTGTTTTTTTAAATGGAAATGCCAAACAGTCTTAACGTTGCCATCACTAATAAATTCCTTCGTGGTAATTTTAATAAAGGAAGTTGGCAGTTCCGGTTTTTTGAATTAATTTGAAAACGATGTCATTAAACGTCAACACAAAAAATTGACTAAGAAAATGTGGAGACAAAACACCAAAAAGGAACAGTTTTTAGAAATGTAGAAACGAATATTTCGCAAGCAGGAAGTTAGAAAAAGGGCCCGTTAAAATGTAGACGCAATTTGTAATGCAGGTTTGGTAAACATTCTCAATTTTCAGAAAGAAATTGACAAGAATACAAAATAAACATGAATGAGAAAGAACCTCAGAAAGAAAGCAATTAAATTAGTGTCTTGTGCATCGCTTTTGAGGAACGAGTTGAAAAAGTAACAATTTTGAAACTAAAGCTGAAGAAGAATTTATTAAATGTATCAACTTTGAACTCATTTCAATAAATTACACAAAATTTATTATCAATCATCATAATACCCACTTGTATCTTTTGCTAAATAACTTTTTCTGTATATACATCCTTTTTCTTCAAAGTTTTTGTAGGAAGAATCTCATTTTTGTCCACAACATTGTACTTACTTGCGGTGTGTTTCTGTCATAATAAAAGTCAAAATTTTGACATCTCAATTTGAACACATAACCATAATTTTCTAACAAACTTTCTAGGGACAAAAACAAAGAGCAAACAAAATTTGTGGCTAACTGCTACCAATTTTTTCACTAAAATTTCGACTCGGTAATTTCCATTAAAAAAAAACAGACTTTACACTGTGCTTTAATGAATTTAGGGTTATTTAGTTTTTGTATGCCGCTTCTGACTTGTCAGGTGACAAATTTTGCGTTGTTGCTTCGACAATTTCGCGAATTTCGGGCGGAGTGCAAACTAAATTCTGTTGCAATTTTTTTGCAAAATTTTGTCTGAACCAGTTGAAAAATCGATAAAAATTGTGCTAGGTATATTTGCTTTCTTAAGCAGTTAACTAAATTTTTGAACTAAAAACTTCTTTTTTTCGCAAAATATTGCTAAAATAGGCCACAAAATCACTAAACTAGATTCAAATTATCGCTCTATTTTGGTCTGTTTCACTGGATTTAGTTTGATGACCTAAAAACCTACTTTTTTCAAAAAATTTCAGCATTTAACATGTTTTTGAGTTAGAAACTGTTTTTTTACAAAATTTTAGGAAAAAAATGACCAATTAACATTATTTTTGACATTTTCATTTTGTGAGATCTTCTAATTAGATAAAAAATGGTGTTTTTTGCCATTCGTGAGTAAAAATCTTAATTGCATTTTATCAAAACATGCCCAAAAATTAATTAGGCAAAAAATTATCTTATTTTCATCTATTTTCAAGCGAATAAAACGTTTTCGAGTCAAAACTGATTTTTTTCACAAAATTTTGCTAAAATAGCTAAATTAGGGGTCGAAAACGACATTGTTTTTGTCTTTTCTAAGTAAAATTTCACCCAAATGGGCCAAAAAATTAGCAAATTAAGTTGAAAATGGTATATTTTTTGGGTTAGGGTAAAAAGTACTCTAACTATTTTGGCTGAAATTTCTTTCCACTTTCAACAACAAAATTCTAAATTCCATAGTTTGTTCTTGTTCTTTAATATACTATTTTATCACAAGAGACAAACATTGTGTAGGATACGCCAGTGATGCACCCCAAACCGACTTCTTCGGCGGAAACATCACCGAAAGCAGTTATTCGGGAGTGAAATGTCGCGGAAACGAGACTTCTCTCGCCCACTGTGTTCATGACCCGTCCTCGAGGGGAAAATGCCAAAGTGGAGACGTTGCAGCCGTCTCGTGTGTCTCTGTAATGTCCGATTTGGTCATCGATCACATCGATTTGATGCGAACAGCCCACTTGGAGGACCGACAACTGTTCTTCCTCCAGTGTGCCATGGAGGAGAACTGTCTCGCCTCCACAGCCTACCAAATCCAGAAGGAAGTCAACTCCTGGCATCTGGAAACGCGACGACTTCTCAGATTCACGGCGAGGATTTTCAACGCCGGAACGGCCGACTTCAGACCTGCCATACCAAAACACTTGTGGGAATGGCACATGTGCCACATGTAAGTTATAATTATTTCAACTCAAAAAGTGTATGTAATATCGGTGTTGTTGTGGCAACACTGAAGAATGTGTAGAAACTACAGTTACTCAACTGACATTTATTGTTGTTACCTACAATATCTTTGATCTTTAAAATGGCTCTACAGGTTGGCAATATGTGAAGAGAGAAGGTAGTATTCAGTGTTGCCAACTTAATGATTTTGTTGATTCGTGGAAATTGGATTAGTTTTTTGATGCAAATAGTGCCGTTTCCGGTTAATTACCGGTCGCGCATTTTGCTGACGTCATCCCGAATAAACATTAATTTCGAACACAAATAACAATATCCATTTATGAGTGCTATTATTCGCTGCAATAACAACATTCTCGCATGACAGGTCGTAAAATTTAATATGTTTCAGGCACTACCACAGCATGGAGGTATTCGCGACGTTTGATATTTACGACGCGAAGGGCCTTAGAGTGGCCGAAGGTCATAAAGCGTCTTTTTGTCTCGAAGATAATCAATGTTTGGCTGGAGTCAAGCCGAGATATGCTTGTGCGAATTACGGTGATCAGGGGATTTCGGTCAATTGTAGCGATATTTACAAGTACACTGTGGATTGTCAATGGGTCGATATATCGGAACTCGAACCGGGGATTTACACGCTCAAAGTCGCCATCAATCCCGAATTTAAAGTGCCTGAAATTACGTACGAAAACAACGCGGCCGTTTGTCAATTTATCTATTCGGAAACGTTCGGAACTGTCACGAATTGCACCGTTCAAAGGCCCTGATAATCACATTCAAAATGTATTTTCTTCAAAATAAAGTTCCAAGTTGATAAATTGCGTTTATTTTCGGGTTTCATCAACCGTAAATCGACGTTCAGCCTTCACTCTCTGTAATAAATTTAAACGAGGGATTTTAGGCTTGAGGTAACGCATTAGAGCCATTTTTGGCCACACCAAATTCATTATGCAAAAATTAATGCGAAATTTTATTACAATCACATTTGGCATCCGATAAACCCAACATGGTTTTACGTCTCTACGATGTGCATTCCTAAACGCATTTCCGCAAGTTCTGTACCGTTTTTGAGGCTTTTTTGAGTGAAAATGAGGCCCAACGTGGGCAACGTGACATTTGCGTGCCGATAAATTGCAATAAATAAATGTGAGCAGCTTTTAGCATGCTAATCACGTGGATAAAAACAGTTTAAAGGCATGCTGACAGTCACAGAGGCGGCGGAATTGATTTTCAACTTTAATAAATAAAAAAAACAACCATAAGTTTGGAAAACAAAATGGAAAAATCGTTTACAGTTAAAATTTTTATTGTTGCAAATTTAAACAGGTGATGGAATATTCAATTTTAAGATAAAAATTTCCTATGAACATGTTTTGTAAAATACCTACGTAAGGGCGCTACACTCCCTGAAATGAATGAATTTTGTCTAATATTTCAGAAGTCATTTTACATAAAAGTACAAAATTTGGTACAGTTGATTACCTGTAGAATACTGTTGAATAGCCCTGTAGAATTTTTAAGGGTAAAAAATGGCTACAGCTGATTATTAGGTACATTTCTGATAATTAATCAAAAGAATCGATTTGCAAATTTAGTTCCTACGCTAATGACTACTTTGCACAAAGAGTCACAGAGTTTGCATTAATTTTGAAAAATCGCTCAAAAATGATTTGAAAATCGTCTTGAGTAGTCCTTCCGTGTTTGATCCTGCGTCAGGTGAGCGCGTTTTGCGCATCCTTGATCAATACCTCGACGCATCTCTGTCCGGGCCTGAAGCATGTGCGTGTAGTGCTTCCAGTCGGCATGAGCCAGTGCAGTTCTCACACCTCCACGACCTGGACGCCATCCTCGCGGTGTCTTTAAGGACATGCGGGACGATGATGACGCCACCTGCCGCCGATGATGACCTGGTGTCGGCGGGCCAATGGCTGGAATCCAACGCCACCATCGTCGAGCAGTGGCTCAAACGGCACGCCTCCGCCGAGTTCCGTCGCCGCGTCCAGGAAGCCGCCGCAGATGCCAGACGCGTCTCCGTCGCTCCAGATCTCTTCCAGCGATGGCTGGTGCATCCGCCGGCTGTGCGACCCCGACGGGACCTCGAAGCCATGGAGGAGGACGAATTGTTCATGGAGTTGATACGGGACGTCGCCAACGAGCTGGATATAGACGTGCTGTGTCACAAGATATTGAGGAATGTGAGTTTGTTGACGAGGGCTGATAGGGGGTCCTTGTTTCTCGCTAGGGGAGCCGGAGACGGGAGGTATCTAGTAGCGAAGCTGTTTGATGTTAGACATGATACCTCGCTGGAGGAGGCCGTCAAAATGGCCAAAGCGGAGGAAATTAGGATTCCTTTCGGGGTGGGCATTGCAGGCACCGTCGCCAAGAATAAAATACTCATCAACATCACAGATGCCTATAATGTAAGTCAATTCTACCAGGTCCAAGGAAAAACCAAAAAAAAAATTATTTAATCATTTATAATTAACCGATGTTGTCAAAAGAGTGTAGTTTTAAATCTCTTTAGACAGCGTCGTGTCATAATAACCCTTCGATCCCGACCTCTGACTGGTAAATTTGACACGAGATAAGGGTAGTAAAATTCGAATCACTTTTTAATGAAATAATCCCTAATTTCAACTCCTCTAAAATTAGTCATGATTTAACATGATTATAATATTTTATATGAAAACTAAACACAAACAATTTTGATGCGATTGTTTCGTAAAATAAACAACATCACCGACGTATCTACATACCTTAGTACGTCAACGAGAAAAAATGGGTCACCTAGTTGGGGGCAAAATTCTAACAAAATGAAAGTTGGAATCTACAAAAGTTTGGTTTTATCGATTTTAAAACTGAATAAATAAATAGAATATGCCTCTGTGTTTAAAACGCTTTCGCTTATTAGCGGAAAGGAAATTAACACGACAGTCGGAAGTATCGACTATTGACAAGCTTCCCTGATAATTCCGGATTTTAAAAGCTCATTTTGATACAAGCAATCTTCTAAAACTGAGAGTCTAATTAGGAGGAAGAGACTTGATTATAAAGTGGGGGTAATAGAAAACTAAATCTCGGTTAAAGCGCCTCGTTGGAAAACTAGATTTACTTGCGAAGATCGAAGTTTTGACCCATTTAAAAAATCCAATTTCTTGAATTTTCTTTCAGAGAAACAGTCTAAAAATAAATACGATCGTAACTCCCGAGTTTGTGCGCAAATATAAGAGATTAAAAACTTGTCAGGTGTGTTTTCCGAAATACTTCTTATTCGTTCATTGCACTCCTTATTGTATGCAAAAGTGCGGTTTCAGCGATCGATTAATGAAATAATTTGTATGTTAAAGTCGTCGATTTGCTCCACCGCAGCTGAAAAAAAAACAATAAATCGATTTCTTCGTCCGTCCCGTCCATTATCCTTCGATTTCCCTTGAGACTCTTGAAATAAGCCACTAGATCAACAAAAGTCACGCGAATTTTCAGGATCCGCGTTTCAGCAGCGACATAGACCTCAAAACGGGCTACAAGACCAACTCAATACTCTGCATGCCTATTTGCAATTACGAAGGCGAAGTTATTGGAGTCGCGCAAATTATTAACAAGACCAATGACAGTCAGGAATTTACTCCACACGATGTGGAAGTTTTCAGAAGATATTTGACTTTCTGTGGAATTGGAATACAAAACGCCCAGCTGTTTGAAGTTTCGGTGCTGGAATACAAGAGGAATCAGGTGAGTGAAATTCAGGTTTATTTCAGCAGAAATCTGTAATTTTTTTTACAGATTTTGTTAAATCTAGCACGTAGCATATTTGAAGAACAGAACAATTTAGAATGTCTGGTGACGAAAATAATGAGAGAAGCACAAGATTTATTAAAGTGCGAGAGATGCGCAGTGTACTTAATGGATCTGGATTGTGGAGAAGCGGTAAATAGTCGGAAAATCATTTCTAGGTCAATTCTTCAACACTGGATTTTTGCAGAATCATTTGGAACGGATTTTAGAACGTCCGGGGAGAATAATTCGACGTCATGCTCCTCTAAACCGTGTCGAAAGTGGATCTGTGACAGCCGAAGACATGAGAGTGAGTGGTTTAAAAACTCCTTGTTCTTTCACCACAATTTTCGAATTGAGAGATGGAGGGAGTAACACTTTGGTATCTAGACCTTCTTCATTCGATTTACAATGCTCGACTTTGGCCCAAATTGCAAGTTTTGCCGCTTCGACCGGTCAAATCCTCAATATTGGAGATGTTAAAACATGGCTTAGTGAACAACACAGTGAAGGCGATGCTGAATCGGCCAGAACCATCCTCTGTATGCCTATACTCAACGGCCAAAGAAACCTCATAGGTAAAAAAATCGCTTTTGCTGTCTCTACTAAACCGGGGATTATTGTCAATAAAATTTTGATAGCGTCGAATCCATAAAAACTGCTTTAATAATTTATCCCCGAGGAACGAAACAATGAAAGATTTATTGCCCAAATCGGCTTTTTTGATTTTTTCAGGTGTTGCCCAACTGATAAATAAGGAAAATGGGGCTCCGTTCACCGATTGCGACGTGTCTTTATTCGAAGCATTTGCGATTTTTTGCGGTTTGGGTATTCATAATACCCAGATGTACGAAAACGCTTGCAAGTTGATGGCGAAGCAAAAAGTCGCTTTAGAATGTCTTTCTTATCATGCGACAGCGAGTAACGACGCTACTGAAAAACTGATCAAAGAGGATATCCCTTCGGCTGAAACTTACAACTTGTATAGCTTCACGTTCATCGATTTCGAACTTTCAGACGATGATACTTGCAAAGCCACAATACGGATGTTTTTAGAATGCAACTTGGTGCAACAATTTCACATTCCCTATGAGGTAAGTGGATTGTTCAGCCACCACAATCAATTGTTTGAAATGAAACAACAAACACACTTTACTCGTCTTTGGAACAATATTGCCTTTGAAAGCGAATCATATCAATATTGTGATAGTTGCGGCGACTACTGAAAGGGTTTTGTTTAATTTTCCAACGTTGTGGCACTTGTCACAACAGGAAATTAAATTTCAACGTTGAAACGGAATGCGAGAATTAAAAACGTTTCTTAGCAAGCAAGCCGGAAATGAGGAAGTGACGAGCTACTCGTTAATGCAAACTTTTTTCACTTAAAAAAAAATTAATAGTTTTTCCGGACTCGACTATTAATTTTGAGGATAAACTCGCGGCGAAACGCTAAACTTGATGATTATTTGGATAATTGGATATTGAAAGGCTGTCTAATGGGGATGGCCATTGTTAATGGCGAAGCGGTTGTTGTCCCATTGTGCTCTCAACCGGATAATAAACGCTTGAATAAGCCAACATGGGGTTTACCGATAAACCAATGCTAAAAAAATTACCCTGAATTTCACAGCAATTTTCATAATTTTCATGTACAAGCTGTCCAACCAAGATTTTTTATTAATAACTGACCAAACAACTTTAAATTTAAAAAAAAAAACAAAAAAAAGATTTTATTTCCAACGATACCAAACAATAGAGGTTATTACCAATAAGTCCGGAGTTATTGACAATAGACCGCTCCGGGTGCTAAAAATCGACCAAAACTTCGACAAAAATTAAAAAAAAAACAACTTTAAAATGGATCCATATAACGGCTAGAAGCATAAGCACTATATCCAATTCTGACCAAAAAATCCAAATTTTTTTATTCTTAAAAAAAAAAACTATAGTACAGTCGAACAAAGTGAAAATGACGCCTCAATAAACCAGCCCCTGCTGTGGATGTCGATTCTTCTAACCGTAAATTATCGGATTGTAAACTACACCTAATTTCAAGATAAATTTCTTTAGGAGCCAGTTTACAGAAAACGAAATTAAAATTTAATAAGTCGAATTAAGTTGCTATTTATTTTGCATTACCAGATGTCAAGTTAATTAAAAATGTATTTTTTGTGATAAAAAATTTAACAAACCATTTCTTGAAGAAAATTTTAAATTTCAGAAAATAAAAATTGATGTTATTAATTTTTATAAATCACTTAAAATACAGTGCGATCAAAAAGTCTGTCTATCAAGCAAGCGTATAAATTTAAAACGTATGTCTGTGGAAAATAAAATGTCACAATGACAAATGAGAAATGTCAAAATATTTTTTATGTAAATTATGACAGGAAACCGTGGTGAACGATTTTTATGAATAAACACCAACAAAATCTTATTTTAGTTTGTTTTGAGACGTTTCATAGAATAATTTAATTTAGTTAGCTCAATGTTTTAATTTTTATAAAATAGTTTTTGACATCTAGATAACATACGAACCGCCGTGCAGTGCAACATACGTCCTCAACTAGGACGCCTACTTGATAGAAAGACTTTTTGATCGCGCTGTTTTATTGTTTTACATAAAATCAAGCTTAAAATAAAGAAAGTCTATTTAGTACAAAAATTATGTTACTTAGAAAATAGTTTATCAAAAAATGTATTACATTAATAATAATTCGTTTTTTGTCAATTTCATCGTGTTAATGCATAATTTTCTTTAAGAAACGATTTTTGTTAAATTGTTTATTTAAGAAATTAAACATTTTCATTTAATTTAAAAGTATTACAATTATCAAAAAATAAATTTTGTAGCAGAACTAAAAAAATTAAAATAATATTGCGTTTTTGCGGTTAGAAGGGTCGACATCCACAGCAGGGGCTGGTTAATTGAGACGTCATTTTCACTTTGTTCGACTGTACCTTCTAGGTAGTTTTAATTCGTTTTAAAACCCTGAATTTTTTTGTAATTATTTCACTTTAACATTTTTTTTTTCAAATAAAAGAATGTTTTTCAACATTTTACTTTTTTTCTTTAATAAAATAAAATCTATAACAATGCTAACCGATGTTATTATTTTATTTCCTAACAAAGTACTCGTAAAATCTATTTTTTTTTCTCTGGGAGCCTCTCGAGACCTCTGAAAAACCCCTCCATGTGGCCCGCATTAATTGGTAATTTCAGAAATTCAGTTCCAAAGTAATTAAATCGTCTCGAAACTAGTTTCAAAGTGCTCCGTCTGAATCACTATTGATTTAAGATTTCATTTTAAATGGAAATTGTGGAAACTGCATCAATCTTGAAATGATTATTTCTGACGGAGTTTCCCTATCGATCGTTTCACTGAATCATTGTTTTGCAGGTTTTGTGTCGTTGGATTCTTAGCGTAAAAAAGAATTATCGTCCGGTGAAATACCACAATTGGCGACATGCCCTAAACGTGGCCCAAACCATGTTCGCTATGTTCAAAACGGGAAAAATGGAGCGATTTATGAGCGATTTGGAAATGTTGGGACTTTTGGTGGCTTGTTTGTGCCACGATTTGGACCATCGGGGTACCAATAACGCTTTCCAGACCAAAACCGAATCTCCACTAGCGATTTTGTACTCGACTAGTACCATGGAGCACCACCATTTCGACCAATGTGTCATGATTCTCAATACCGACAGCAATAATATATTCCAAGTAGGTGGGTTTAGTTTCAGATTTCAGGAACGGAATTTCAGAAGCGTTAGTTACCGTTTCAGGTGTGATAATTTAGACTTATTTCAGGCTTTATCGACGGAGGATTACCGAAGGGTGATGAAACTCGTGGAAACTGCGATTTTATCAACTGATCTCGCTATGTATTTCAAGAAGAGGAACAAATTTCTGGAGTTGATCGAAAACGGGGAATTCGATTGGCAAAGCGACGATAAAAAGGACTGTAAGTTCGTGTAATTAGTACTTTAAGTGCTTCACTTAATTAAAGACTGTTTTAACGATCAAAGCTCCTGATTTTAGTACTTTCCGGGATGATGATGACTGCTTGTGATGTGAGTGCGATTGCAAAACCTTGGGAAGTGCAACATCGAGTGGCGAAACTAGTCGCCGATGAGTTTTTCGATCAAGGCGATATGGAAAAAATGCAACTGAAAGAACAACCAATCGTACGTTGACTTTTTTGTGATTTCATTTTCAGTTCTTCTTTCAGGCGATGATGGATCGTGAAAGAAAAGACGAATTGCCTCAGATGCAAGTGGGATTTATCGACGTCATTTGTTTACCGCTTTACCGAGTTTTATCGGAAACGTTTCCTTGGGTCAAACCCTTGTATCAAGGGACTTTGGAGAATCGCAAACATTGGCAAGATTTGGCCGAAAAAGTCGAAATGGGCCTTACGTGGATCGATCACGACACGATTGATAAACCGGTCGAAGCGTTCGCTGGTGAGGGAAATAAAACACGATTCATAGACAAAATATTTATTAGAATTTCAAAAAAAAAAAACTGTTAAGTAATAAATAATAACGTACACAATAATAAAAACCATTTTTACAAGTATAAAAATAATATTAGTTAACACAATGTGATAAAAATTATAGCACCACCCACAAAAAAATGTGTGTTTTGTTGTAGATACAGAAGAGACCAAAGATATAGAACTAACAGTTCAAACCCTCCATACCGCTCCAGCATGTCAACAATTGCCTCCCTTGGGACACAAATTGAAACGTAATAAACACAAGTTATGTTGCATATTGTGACATACCCCCATAAAGTGTAATTAATTAGTGTTTTCTTACACATTGTCATTGATATTCTAGAGAAAAAGAAAATGCTCATATGTTACATCAAGGATGGATTTTTTTACAAACAAAAAAGAGAAGAAGAGCAGAATGGTGATGCTTGAATCCAAAAAAGACATTTTGTAATTATATTTGTATCTAACAAACAGCAAATAAAATGTATATAGAAAATAAAAACAGATCTAAAGTAAATTTGGAAAACATGAATACACATTTATTCTTCCCATTGTTACACACACCAGTTGGACCAAAAAAAGTTGCGCAATTTTGATCCGAAAGAAACTAAATGGAAGACGGATCAATTCCGTGCGATATTGCTTAAAAATTGGCTAAAGAAATTATCACCTTGTCCAACTTAAAACGTGGTACCAGTCTAGAGTTAGATATAGGATTGTAGACAAAGTTTATTTAGGTTTTTCTCTTACATAAAAAACTCCTGAGTGGAGTGCGACAATGTAAGTCATGCGTTTGGTGGCCTATCTAAACAACTTATTTCTATCACTCTCAGTCCTCTCATACTGGGATCGGTCAACTTTAGACCGCGTGGTTCGTATACAGTCTGGTTTTGTTCCGCTACAAACTTTGACACTTTTTTCAGACACTGCAACAAAAATCACAAATTTTACCTAAATTACCACTTCCGGCGAAGAAATGACACATTTACTTGATTGATGAGAACAAAAACTTGCAAAGGAAACGTTCGATTTCGTTGAAATTAACGAGCTGAACGTAACGTGTGTGAGAATCTTTCAGTAAAAAAGACACAATGTTTTTCAGCAAAAATTGTAGCAGCATTAATGAGATATAATTAATAAT